TTCTGGTAGAAAACATAAAGTGTAAACATTTAAAATAAAAGAAACATTACGCTGTAAATTTCGTTTTTCGTCTTTTTCCGGTTTTCCCGATTTTGATGAAAAATGCTTAGAAAATCAAAGAATGATCTTTCTAATGCACCAATTAAATAAAATTTCCTTTCAGAAAAAGTTCTACACTACACATATACATCAAAGCAAGAATTTTGGTACAAAAGTTGTTTACAGACACAAGCAAACAAAATAATATTAAAAAAAAAAAACAAATGGACATACTTCGCACGATGGGTGGGCCACTGTTGTTGGTGAGAAGATAGGTTAAACCCGAAGGAATTCGATGGATTTGACGATTTGTCGACCGAATGCAGCGCACCGAAAAACTGCGGATGCCGTGCATCCACTGCACTGCATCAGTGTGGGAAATCTAAATGCATTATTGGTATTTACTTACCTAAAAAGTTTATAACATCTTCATTTTCAAAACCTGTGTCAGCTGAAATATAGTAAGTAATTAATAGCTTAACAATTGTAATATATTGGATATTTTAATACTTGTACAATAAACGATCAAGGTTACACAGCACAATACCAGTTCCATCATACAAATTTCTCAAACAGTGTTGTCACCTTAATTCATTAATTCACAATATTAATTACGTGGCGAAGTGGGGATCGTCTGTGTGTGATACCGCAGAAGGCATAAATACGCTATACACATCATTAATTAAATCACTTTTCTGGGTTCGCCGAGAAGCAGAATCATTTTTTTTCCAAACCTATACAGTGGTTGCAGATACCGAAGGCAGGCTGCTGTATTTGGTTCTCCCTATCCTAAATACCTGGTAATTGAGTCTGTTGTCACTATTATTTTACCGTAGATTGTGTTTATTTCTTAAAAAAACATATATAATATTCCTGTACGTGGACGGCTACACACATCTTGAAAAACGGTTGTCTGTACGCCTGAAAAGGGACAGGATGACATATACACTTTGCACTTAAAAGAGTTTAATACTATTGATCAGAAGGCTATACGCATCTCGTTAACCAGTTGTGAATATAGAACTGGTCTGGTCGTAGTGCTGACGTCTAACTCATTCACCTCCGTGAGACGGTTGTCTATACGCTTAGAAAGGGCGGTGGAACAAATATAATTCTCGCTAACACTAACATTATCTATACTTTTGGCTATACGCCCGTCTCGTACCGTTATTATTAATTGAATACGTATTTTTGTTTATATTTACCTTTATTTTGTATAACACTCTTTCAATGAAATGACACTCACGAATCACCAAACCGCACATCCCGCAATCGCAGCATCCCCCCATTTTTCGATACGCAAGACATTTGCCACTAATCCCCAGTCTTTTTGTACATTATTACATAGTTATTTTTCGACAACAAAAAGAAATTATATACACTTTTCAATAAACGTGTATTTCTTTTATGGAAACGTCCACATTCCCGGTGGAACGTTACAAATGTTTTATACGTGTACATTACCAACCCTGCAGTATTTATAATCAATGGTGATAGATACCAAGTTCTATTCACCATATAAAAATGTTCTGCTTACCTTTCAATTCTACACTATGTAATTGCTCTGTTAAAAAATGTTAACATTACAAATTATAAGCCAATACCTATAAATTATAATCATCATTGGTTTAATTGATATATTAATACGGAAATTACAATACGTACACATAAATTGATACTTTTGTTTGTACTACTATGCATGTTTTCTTTTATACTATACTATAAAGTAGTATTAATATTAATAATATTCATGAAATCTTACCCAAACAAACTATATATATAAAAAAAAAATAGAAATAAGTTAATACATAGAATAAAGGAACAAATCTAGTTTAGCGCCCATTTTTTGAGTTTTTTTTCAAAATGTGTGGTTTTAAGTGTATCTTTAAAATATTAAAAAAAAAAAATCAAGGTGGACAAAATTACATATTTACATAGCCCCTAGTTTTGCTAATTTGTCACCTTCATTTTTGTGGGTAAAACGTCTACCTACTTTTGATTTTTAAATAAAAATTGTTAAAAATTGCTTTGCTAGATGAAGTTTTAGTTTAAATAGTTAATAAACATAATTTGGGGTTTTTATTTTTAATTTCTGTCGACACGGAAAGAATATGCACCTCACATAAAAATGTTCCACTATTCTCATTATCCATAAAATTACAAACTTAAATGTTGAATATCTCGTTAATTAGTTAACAAAAATTAAAAATATCAACACCAAAATGCATTTAAAATAACACTCAAAAAATATTAAAAGTAGTCTTTTAATTCCAAAAATAAAAGTGATAAAAATAAACATGCCTAATGTAACAAAAGTGTTTAACTTAAGACATTTTCAAAAATAGTTAGAATATTTTGGATATTTGATTGTAGCATACAATTTGATAAATTCTGTACGGTATATTCTTTTTTGGGTTTAATAAAAATAATCCAATAGATAATAAGTAATAGTTTGGTTGAATTGTGTTTTGTTATAGACTGTAAAAGCGGGATGTAATTTCGTTATTTGTTATGCGAATCAAAGGAAATTTTTCTTTCACGATTATTTTACTTCATGTTAAATAAGTAAAATATATTAAAGTTTATTATTTTAAAATTGTATTTTTTAAACTACAAAAATATAAGAACCGAAATTGTAATTTGATCCAGAGTTTTATCATTGAATTAATATTATTGTGAATTTGTTTTACTTTATTTCGTACTATAAGATTATAAAATCACTAAACATTAAAAATATAAATTTGTTGAAGTTATTGAAATTATGAATTTCTTCTGTCGGATTTTCCCTGAAAATAAAACCTATTGTACTGAATTCTGTTTGTTATAATTATACATTTTTTCTTTTTATTGCTTCTTTTGGAAACCACATGGCTCCTTTTGGACCAAATGTGTTCTAACTCGGGAATCGGAGTAATTTTATAGATTAAAGGTAAATTGAATCTTATTCTATTATTTTAATTTTTACAATTTTGCTGTCGAAGAAGGCTGTTTTTTTAATTTTGAACACTCTTACAAACTCCAAATGAATTCAGGAGGACGATATTAGTATATACATGGCATTCGCGTCATGGATAAGCCTTTTAGAGGTTTTAAATTTTAAATCTCACCAATTTCGTGTTCAAATTTTTTCTACTTTTTAGTAGTTATATAGGTGAAGTATAGTTTAGTATATCTTATTTGTTATAATAGTAATCGGTTATTTATTGTTTTATAACAAATATTTAAATAATACAAAATAAGTGGGAGAAATTTTAATTCTAGTGATGGAGTTCTACTGTTTACAAATTTTTTTTGTTATAAAGCAGATGATATTAAAAAAAAGACAAATTTGATCCCAAATAATGGGAAAAGAAGTGGGGGGGGAGAGGAAGAAAAGAAAAATCATTAAATAAGATCAACATTTTGTTAAAATTCGTTAAAAATAAATAATTTACTGTGGAAAATTATTTTGTACTAAAATACCTAGAGAAATTTCAAATTTTAAATTAAAAATAAAAGTATTTCACTGAGATGATTTTTTTTTATTGTTTTATCCTTAATAATTGAATAATATCGGATAAAAAAGAGCTGATACTTGGGATGGAAATGGCCACTGTTGTAGGTGAGAAGTTGGGAAGGTAGGATACATAAGGTTATTTTTTTTATATCTGTAACGATAAACCACATGTTCGGTATTATATAATTTGAAGTGCCGTATTTTTTTTTTTTGCGATTTTCGTTTTAATTTAATTTCAAAACACTTATTGAAAAAGGAAAAAATGTCGTCCGATAATTTTGGAAATTTTACCATGTCTATATAAGTTCAATATAAGTATTATTACCAAGTTTCAAGTCTCTACGTGTATTTATAATCAAATTACAGCAAAAAACTCCCAAAAATTTAAATTTCTTAAAAGCTCAAAAGTTTTGGCGGTTTTACCGCAAGAAAGTGAATCAAAAAAGAAACAAAAAAGATATTTTATAATTTTTCGATTAAATCATTTTTTCTGGTAGTAAATATCCGTGTTTTATAAAATAATGAAATCTTTAAATTGTACGTTTTCCTACGTTTTTCCCACTTCAGTGCTTTTATTAAAAAAAATTTTATATTTAAAATATAAAAATTTAATTAAAACAATTTTCGAAAATCAAAAAAATGACTTTTTTAAAGTACAATTTAGACAACTTGTGCTTCAGAAAAATGTTTACTGGTAAAAATTGGAGCAAGTTTACTAGGAAAAAACGTGTCCACAGGATAGAACAAAGAACAAGGTACAAAAAAAAAAAAAAATTAACATCTTAATAAAACCAATAATTCTTTTGCTGCGCTTGGAATCTAAAACTTAGAAAGAATGGGAAGGTTTACGGAAATAATGGTTTTATTATATTCAATTTTGTTTTTTGTTGTAATTCAGTCGAAAATATTCGTAGAAACTTGAAATTTCGATAGAAAACTTATATTTGTCTATACTGAACGTGGTTACATTTTCAAAACATTTTTTTGAGCTATTTGTAGGAGCTTTATGTTTGTGAGTTTTTTTACCTTATTTTTAATTAGCAGGTATTATGTGGATATAATTGTTTGGCTTAACAGAAATGCTTGCAAATTTAACAGGCGGTTCGAAATTAGAATGTAATGTATAGTACATTTTTTTTTTATATTGGTTCTGAGATCAAATTTTGATGACAATTGTAAATATTACGGCCTTTCAAATCATGTATGAAACGAACTTCGCTCATTATCGATTTTCGTTAATAATGGTTAATCGTTGATAACAGATATAAATTAAATAACTTTACGCAGGAGGAAGGTATCTTATCTTCCTTACTTAACATATACAACAGTGGCACACTCATCAGCAGTATCAGCTTTTTTAATTTTCTAAATTTTCTTTTTAAATCTTAGAATAATACATTATATAATGTATTATGTATTATATTATGACATATTATATGTTTTATATGTAAATTAGAGGAATAATTGATTCAAATTTGACGTAATAATCAAAATTACTTATTTAATTACCTTGAATTCCGCACCAAATTTCGGGAACAGCTAAAATTTAAAATAAACTAAGACATTTACTTTGGATTGCCACTTATTTTTAAAATATTATGATTATCCCGTTAGCTGGTTAAATTTTTATTCTTCGATGTCTGAAAATAAACTCTACAAACTTTGAAGTCAGTCAATTTAAATTAACACGTGGCGACAAGAGTTCAACGTTTAAATTTTTACAAAACATTATAAGTAATGTTATAGTTAGACATTTTATCGGTGGGGGGGGGGGAGGAAGACAATTAATAATCAAAATATGTTTAGTGTTATTTTTTATTTATATATTTTGAATCCGTTTGGATTGTTGTCGACGATAACCGTTCTATGGGAAAAAAATTTATAGTTTCACTTAAAAAAAAGATAAAACCACACACAGTATACTGTGAAAGAAGCAGTTTCACTAAATAATCACGCATAAAAATGAAAGCATTGCTTTGATATGAGAATGGACTACGCGTTAACGTGGTTATGGGACCAATATCCATGCGTCGACCATGGCATTCAATTTATTAATATACTTAAATAAAATAAGTAATAATTTATATACTTATGAGTTAAAAGCTGTTTTATATCCATTATTCGTCATAAACGAATAGATAGATTTAAACTTTATGTGTGTTGTAGTCAGTGTGGAATCCCGAAAATTTTTCTACGGGGGAAATAACTAAAATTATAGTATGAAATTAATTATTTAATTAATTATTAATTTACCTATATTTAACAAGGGGACAAACAAAATTCTAGGGGGGCTATAGCCCTCCCTGACATATACCTGGATTTAACATTGGTTGCAGTTGCACTACTGATAATATTGCTTATAATTTTCCTTTTATGTGTAGCAGAGTTTTTACGTCTTATTATCTGAATGTTTTCTAGACTGTTTGGTTTATTCCCATGATAAACACGAGAAAAACAAATTATTTTTAAGCTTGTAGAACATTCCTTCCACAGTTTAAAATTTCGTTCAAATTGAATATATTTGATAGCTATGAATAGAGAGTGGCAATTGTTTCCCTGCCCTCCCTGGATACACCCATGATTATAAGTATTTCTCAATAGTTTCTTATACGAATACACGATAGTGTATAATAGTACTATTAATTTTATTGGTAAAATTATGTCTGTAAAATATTCTGTAGCTCTATAAATATTTTGTCTATCGTGTTAAGTTTAAAAGTTATATGGTTATAGAAATTATTTTTAGAATTAATTATGTAGAGTATTTTGTAAAAATCATTTTTTTCAATGAAATTAATAGTTTGAGAAATAATTGACAAATACTTATTTATAATATTTTATATAATTTTAAACTTTGGACTCATGTCACCACGTGATAATATAATTTTATTGACTTTTGATTCAAACTTTTTGAATTTTTTGATTTGAATTGTAAGTGTTTTTTTTTTTATAAAAATACAGTTAATGTTTGAGCAGTATTTTTTTTTTATTGATCCAATGTAGTGTACGTACTTGTTCCACCGTTAAAAATGTGATCATAATATCTAGCCAAATAGTTTCCTAAAATTAAAATTTTTTTTTTTTTTATTGTTTTAATAAATATTATAATATTATTCTTATTGGTGGCATTGTAGTTTAAGTACATTTCCATTAAGTTGAAAAAGTACATTATTTTACTAATTTGAAGACAAGTAAGTTTAATAATGAGTTATTTTTACTCTGAACAATAGAAATTATATATAGTATCATAAATCATTACTTTGAATTTACTTAGGAAGCAATACCTACATTTACTAGCTGTTTCGGTCTAACTACTCTAATTAACGGGTGAAAAAAATATGTACTTAATAAAACATTCAAATTTTATATTTGAACTCTTGATTCTTTTTAAAAATATACTTATAATTACATATATTGGAATAAAAATGTAAAATTATTTAAAAATAAGGAAAATATCTGGGTTCTCATCAGTGGCTTGCGTATTCAAAAAAGTAAAAAACTATAGCATTTTTTTTAAAGAATTAATCAAACAAACCATTTTCAAATTTCATATTTGAACTCACATAATATAAATTTCAATAGCTTTGCTAGATTTAATATCAAGCTGAAAAAATAAGCTTACGTAATAGAACTCTAGTTATTAGATATTTTTAAATAATAAACCTAATCTTCTTTGAAATTTTTTAAAGTTGTGCTTATGATATTTTTTCATATTATAGAATTTATTTTAAGTATACTCACCATCATTTTTAAATGAATTGTTTGTCTTTCCTATAGAATTGGTATTAAAAACAATTTTAATGATTAGGAATGTTACTGATATGAGCTTAACTCCTTTGTGTGAAACCGACTTAAGTTTTCCTCTTTTCATCCAATTATAATAAGATTGTTTTCGCCCATAGTTTAACATTCTGAGAACCATGTACTTTTTAATTATACTTTATTCTCTGAAGTATAATTATGGGTTGAATAAAACGACATTTCATGTTATATTAAAATATATACTATAATACTATGAATGACTTTACCAATCGGTAAAACTTGATGAAAAGTTGATGAAAAATTGATGAAAACTTAATCAATGGCGAAATTGACTGGTTCACTATGGATTGCTTATGCGTAAGGGACATTACATGGGATATAGCACTGTTCTGTGGTGAGATCCTGCAGTTAATATATTTTTTTGCTTATATACATGGGGCATTAGTCATATTTAGAACCCAGAATTTGTTGTACTTGTATTTTTTTTTCACCAGTTCTAATATATTGCGTATTTTTATTTAAATTTGTTTCATGGAACGTAGAAGCTGATGGTACCATTTTTAGGGAATTGTATGCCATACAGTAATTTTTGATAATTGAATGAATTTGTATACTTTCCGAGGTATGTCTTATGTAGTATATTTATATTATAGTTATGTACTTTAGAAAATTCAGTAAATAAAACACAAAATATTTATTGTATTCAGTATTCTTTTATCCCTTAAGTCATTGTACCTAAGCTAAAAATAATTATTATCAAATATGTATATTATATTATAGACATTATGGCTCAAAAACTTTTACTACAGTTTATTTCAGTAGCGGAATTTTTAAAACAACCCTGCTCCACCAAAGTAAATCGTAATCTAGATTGTATTTATTATAACAGAAGATTATAGAAGGTAATTTTGGGAAAAACCGGGAAAAATGCAAGAAAAACTGGAAAATTCACGAAAATAAAGTTTTATAATTTTAAATTTTGTGTTTTTGTTTAAATTCAGTGAAAAATATTCGTAGAGATTTGAAATTTTGACAGAAACCTTATATTTGCCTTTTATAGACGTGGTTTAAGTCATGAGACATTTTAATTTTGCGAGATTTTTACGTAATATTTATTTAGTAGATATTCTGTGGATGAATGAGATATGGAGAAATACTTGACAATTTAACAGAAGGTTTATTATAAGTTTTACTTAGTGGTCAACAAGTAAAAGTTAAGTAAATGTATTTTTTTTTGAAAAGGATTTCAATATTAAATTTTGTCGAAAATCGTAAATATTACGGCCTTTTAAACATGTATAATCGAACACCGCTCAGAATCGTTTTTTATTAGCAAAGGTTAAATATTGCGCACAGATATATAATAAATTCCCCTTCCTCAAATTCCTTCCTTAAATTCCTCAACTTCTCATCTACAATAGTAGCCCACCCATCGTACGAACTATGTCAACTCTTTTTTTTTTTAAATTGATTTTTTAACATTTTTATGTAATTTTATATAGTTTTTAAATATTTTTAGATAATCAAGCTCCGAGCCCTAGTGATGATCATTTTATCAGCCATACCCCATTTGAAGAAATATTTATTTAGCCCCACTCTTCCGGGATTTTATTGATATAACATCTAAAATAAAAGCATGTAAATTCATGAAATTTACAAATCAGGAGAGGCAGGTGAAATGTATTTTCTCTAATTACGTGATTGGTGAATTTCTGTGTATATATGTTACTGCGAATGTCCACAGTTGGTGAATGTTGACAATCACCGGTTAATGTCGTCGTACACCAAAGTCATTGGTGAATGTTGGTATATTGATTAGATTCGCATCATATGTAAACATTCAATAGTAAATGTCGACATTTATATTATAACGATATTGGTGAATGTTGGTTCTAGGAATAACGGAAAAATCAAAATAATAGTACACTATTATTAACATAATTCTATAATAGTAAACGAACTCCCTAGTACTTTACCTTAACCAACTACTTTTATTATATCTGTATAACAGTCATGCTATGTTGCCTCTCTAACATTCAGTATGATATTGTCATTCAATACAGTTATATATTTTATTGTATACTATTAATTTGCACAATAATCAAACAATTTTTTATAAACGGAAAATATATGTGAAGTATTAATAATAATAGTAATAAGTATAATAATAAGTATAATAAATTAAATAATTTAGTATCTAATAAAAAAAATAATTATTTGTTTTCTATTGGCTAAAAAATATAAATTTTTAATCGGTTAAGTAAACATTTTTTCTTTGTTACACAAAATAAAATTATTAAATTTAAAATTAATCAAATTCATCAATTGATATAAACGATGCAATTGCAAAACAAAGTGCACCACAAAAATGTATGGTTGTAGAAATGTGGACATTTTTTGCCGTACAAAATGTTATGACAGTTTGTCATGTTGTAATAAGTAGAGTTATTTACCTCTTTAAGCGATACTGAGATATATAAGACTATATTTTTCATAAACAGTAAAAATACTTAAGTAGTAATAATAAATATTAAATATTTAACATAAATAATTTTAAGCCGTGGTTCTCAAAATGTTGAACGTAAAATTGTGAGTGAAAAAAAAATGCATTTATTATTAGACGAAAATAAGAAATTTATTTGTATTATACTTGGGTGGAAAGAGGAAAGTCGTTTTGGGGCGAAAGGTGTTTTGCTCGAACAATGTAATTACTGATAATAATTACAGTAAAACTTCCGCTAACGGTCACCTCTAAAGAACGATCACCTCTAAATAGCGGTCATTATTTCCGGTCCCTTCGGTGACCGTTGTATGGAAGTTTTACAGTATAACATGGTTACTCAAGTAGTCTACTTTATAATTTAAAAGTTTAAAATTGTTAATTTCAAACGTGTATTTGTAGTATCTGTCTATCTAACGGAAAATATTACGAAAGTACTTAGACCTCAATGATATAAACTAGATTTTGATGTCAAGATAAATACAGATGTATTAAATATCTATAGAACAGTTGTTTTTTTAAATTTGCAATATATGTTTTTAAAATTTTAAAATATGCCTTTTTAAAAATATGTTAAAAAAACCAATGGACATACTTCGTACGATAAGAGAGGTTATTATTGTTGGTGAAAAGTTTGGAAGGTAGAGGGAAAATTTGATGTATATTAATTATATGCAATAATTAATCGTTGCTAATGAAAAATTATTCTGAGTGGAGTTCGGTTATATATGTTTTAGAAGGCCGTAATATTTATGATTTAAAAATAATACATTTCGTAAATTTGTTTGTTTTTCCCATTTATTATGAAAACTCCTTGGCAAATCAAAAAATAACCTCCTTTAAGTACTACCACTCCAGTAAAATTTCTTTTTAGAAAAAGTGTTACACTTGAAAATTGGAGCGAAATTTGTGGTAGAAAAGTTGTTAATTGAAAAAAAAAATAGAAAATAAATATCATTGTAAAATCAATATATTCCTTGTTTCATTTATAATTTAAAAATCATATAAAATCCACAGGTAAAGAATAAAAAAAATTATTTTAATGTAATTTAGTAAAAATTCTGACTACTGAGGTCTGAATACTATTGAAAATATGAAAACACATTTCTGTTAAATTACCAACTTGTTAGATAGACAGAGATGTCATATGCACGTTCGGTGTCCTCTTATGAATACACCTATATTCATGACGGAACTTGTCAATTTCCGTGTGATGAAATTAAAATCACTAATAATTTACTACTCAATCCTTGTAGCTGTAAAATAACAAGGATATTTAGGGTAAGATACTTAGGCCTAATCTTTGACTAACATATGAATATTTGAAGTTTGATCTTTGAATTACGATTCACAAACACGAATAACACAACAAATTATCAATATTATATTATGCCATCTGTAAAATATAATATTATTATTAGTTTTTCTAAATTATAATATTTGTTAAATGATAATAATTTGCTTTTCGAGAGATAGCTACACTTCCGTGGGGCCCAAAATTTATACCTTGCACCGGCACTAATAAAACTAAAAGTATACTAAGTATTAATTTATACCATGTACTAGTGATTTTACGTAATTGTCACTAACCAAATTTTGCTGTATATATTACTTCTTGGCCAATAGGTAATTGCACTATTTTGCAAAAATCTAAAATAAGAATAGGCATATGTGTAAGTATGGTTTTAAAGAAAAAAGTTACATTAGGTAATAATAATAATATTAAAAATATTAATTTCAAACCACGCACATTTCTCCAGACCCACCAATTTAAAATTTAAAAAAAATATATCAAATCACACCCCGAATATGCTGTGACCAGTAACGCAACTAGGATTCATTTTTGGGAAGGAGGAGGTTATAAATTATAAAGAAATTCCTCGTCAAGTTTTTGAAATAATAAATTACTAAACAGGTGAAATGCTTGAATTTGACATACTCATATTCAAAACTATAAAGAAACGTCTATAATTGCAATACATATTAATATGCAACTTTAAGGCATACTACGTAGAATTTGTAAAAAATCTCAATATAAGTTTTTGTTTATAAGCTGCGTGGTTTTGAAATAAAATATTTGCTTATTATTTATTTTTTGTATACAATTTAGTAATAAGTGCTATACAAATCTCCTTACATTTCACACCGTATTTTTCCAATTCATCTGTTAAAATGTTGTACGTTACAATAACTTTATTAACGAGTAGGTATACTTAAATTAAAATTATATAATATGTTAAATTTAATTTATTTAATGAATTTTATCTGATCCTTTTATTGCAACTTCAGGTGTACCCCAAAGAGGTCATCTCTCACCTCTGCTTTTTTCCTTATTTATCAATAGTGCGAAGTCTATAATTCAGCATAGTGCTATGTTTTGCAGATGACATTAAGTTATTTAAAAAAGTTAACTCCATGGAAGATTGTGCACTTCTCCAAAGTGATCTTAATAGATTCGTTAGGTGGAGTGAAGCACTTAGCTTAACACTCAGTATAGACAAATGTCGTTCAATTTCGTTTACCAGAGTTCGGTCTCCAGGTTAATACCTACGTAGTCAATAGATTAGGGCTCTTATTAGTCGACAGTGTACGTGACTTAGGCTTCATATTTACACCTTCTTTATCTCCACGTTCTCACATCAATAGCGATACATGAAAAGCGTATAAACTACTGGGATTTATTAGGAGGGTTTCAAGTGAATTTAAGTTTACTGGTTCACTTAAATTCCTGTATTGTGCCTTCGTCAGACCGATTCTTGAGTACGGTTCGATAGTTTGGGGTCCATACTGTGCTGATAGAGGGTATATGTAGGTATCTGAGATAAGTTTTCGGTAAATTATAGTTTTTGCTTACAAAGTTTATGCAAGATATTCTAATAGAAAAGTAAATTTGCTCTAGAAGTAAATTCCTTTATAGTTTAATATTTGTTCAAATTATTTCGTTAAAAATCGCGATGTGCAACGATCACATATATTTATTTATCTGAGTGTTAATTAATACATAAACGACGAATTCCATTGATTACCAATATACTATTATTACTATACACCACTGTGTTATAATACAAATTATAGGTATTCTATGTTTCTTACCCCAACAAGCTAAATTAAATTATAAAAAAAAAAAAATATAATTAGTTAGTCAAATTTATGTGAATTATTATAAAGTTTGTAGGAAGTAGGAACTTAATAAGATAGATACCTAAATTATTTAACAATTAACTAATCAAATTTAGTCAGTAATATGATATAAAAATATTATAATTATTCTCTTGTAAAGAGTTTATTATACTAAAAGGTACATTTATGAATAAGGTTGCCACCTCTCCGGGTTTCATCCGGATACTCCGGTTTTACATATAAATCTACGATTTCCGGGTTTACCATTTTTTAAAGGTGGAACCCCCAGTTATGAAGCGAAATTGTTTACGACAACTTTTTGACTACAACCACGATATTATAACATAAAATTATATGCCTTAATCGTTAACTATATCGCGTAACTAAGACCATTGGGTGCTAATTCGGTATGCATTCTACAGGTCTTGCCGTTCTACATTGGTTCTGCGTTCGGGACGGGGATATTGGACAACGACTGGTCTATCTAGTTACGTTATCTGCCTTGTTTTTATATATTATGATATGTTGGGTATTTCTTTGTTATTATTCTTTATTATCTTATCCTAGATTATTACTAATTCTATTAATGTAGGTTTTATAGGTGTAGTATTAGTATAGGTTTTCGGTTTTCAGTTACGTAGCGTATGGAGGTTATTCATTAGGAGTATTTTATTATTAGCTGGAGACGCTCCTCCCTCTTTAAAAGATATAATGGTTGAGGCAATTAATAACCGAAATCATAGTGCACGAGTAGATGGCCCCTGGGTATTTGGTTTAAAAAATAAAAACGAATGCCGTTATTTTTATATTCATCGACGCGATCAAAAGACACTTCTACCGATAATAGAACGTAAATGCGAGGCAGGATCAGAAATTCATTCTGATGAATGGACCACATACGGGTGTCTCATAAGCCGAGGTTTTGTAGACAGTAAATTACCAAATCTCATATGTCGATGAAAATACAGGAGCCCACACACAAAACATTGAGAGATTATGGTTGGACGCAAAAATTAAATTATTGAAGAAAATGTAGGATGTTCCTCTTAATTATTTGTGGTCCCATCTTGACCACTATTGCTGGCGACTTTACCGTAAAGACAATTCTGACCTTTTGCCATGTTAGTAGACATTAAGAACTTGAATGAGCAGTAAAATAAAACGCAAATAGAACGACGTATGTAGAGCGTATACAGACTCAGAAGCTTGACTGTAGAGCGCATACCGAATCAGAAAATTGTCTAATTGTCTAGAGGCATGGAGTGTTGTAAATACTTATTAAACAGTCTAAGAATTAATACTTTAAATATGTTTTAACACTCTTCACACAATTGATCAACAAATATTAAATCCTTTATAATTCAAGCTTTTATTTATTTACCTTGAATCACACAAAAAGTCGAAGGGGAAATATAAAACCCTAAAAAGGTAAAAAAAAAAAAATATTAAAATTACTTAACTTTAAACTGTTAAGTGTTGTTAATTGGTATACAAATTATGTACATAGCTATAGGTACAGTACATACAATTATAATAAAATCTACATAATATAGGCATCTATACTTTTATAATTTAGATTTACATAAAACATAATGTAACACAATCAAACATAAATTTATAAGTAAACAAAGCTGGTCGTGTTATGAAAAAAGTAACTTGTGACAAAAAGTTTGAGTTATTTTATAAAGTTAATTACAAGAAAATTGTTACTCGTAGTTAAAAATTGAAAATATTATTTTATTTCACTATTCTATAATCAATGGTAGTATACATAATATTTCGTTTTTAGACTGTTATTATTATTTATTTGTTTCATGAGTATGCCGAATATTTTAGAATACCTGAGCACCAATACATAGATAATACCCAGTGTTCAACTTGAGGGTAGGGGGCGCAGGAGGATAATCAACTAATTTTTCAGAAATTTAAATATATCTCTATTTGTTTAAATGAAACTTATGGGACCAATGGTTTTGTTAGGATTATGCCAATGGGAAAGAAATTGGAAATGTATACGTTCAAGTGTTTTGATACATTAATTATAGATAGATCGCTACGCTCGTAATCTAAAGTTAAATGAAGGAATACATAGGAAAAACAATTATACAAATTGGTCGTTTTACATAGAATATAGAAATAATTTATTTTAATAGGAGAGATTATTTAAAGTTAGTTTGTATTAGACAAAGATATGTTAAGAAATATAAATTATTTGGTTATTATTTATTATCTAAAATGTATTGATATAAGATATTATTTTTAAATTTGGTTTGAACATTTAAAATATTATTCAAATTATTTTTCTTTATTTCATTGTGTATGTGTAATTCTTCTAAAACTGAATTAATATAAATATTATTTTGGGTATTTAATATTTCTCAGTCAGTATTAATATCAATACTTATATTATGGTTATTTTCTAAAATATGTTTAGCGAAATTTGAATTAAGGGTAGTCTTTTTAGACTTTATTTCAAAAATGTGTTTTTTATATCTTATTTTAAAATTTCTATTTGTCTTACCAACATATAATTGATTACAGTTACATTTAAGTTTATAAAAAACGTATATACCAGCATTTTGAAAAGAAGGGGGATTTTTTGTGAAGTTTTTATTTCTATTGTTTATATGTTTATTTGAATTATTATTAGTCTTAGCGATTTTTACATTATTTGTATTATTGTTTAGAATTTTATCAAATTCGTTGGACATATTATTTTGATATTTCATACTATAATAGTTATCAACATTATTTGGTGAGTTGTGTATTATTTTTCTTTAATACGTTTTTGCAATTTTTTAATAGTATTTAAATTGAAATTATTTCTATGGGCTACATTATAGATAATATTGAGCTCGTGTTGATAATTATATTTATTTAATGGAATACGGTCAAGCCTATAGGATATTGAATTAAAAAATGATATTTTTTTGAGAATAAGGATGGTATTATAGCATCACTTAGTATAGGTTTTCTGTAAATATTAAAATTGAATTTATTGTTTATTATGGAAACTCAAAGAAATTTAATTTATTATTAATTTATATTTCGAGTGTAAATTGAATGTTTAAGTAGTTTACTAAATTTTCTGCTTGTTTATTTGAATCTATAAATAAAATGAACACATGTTCATCAACATATCTATAATATGCTTTTATATATGGACTGTATATTTTGTTGTTAATAATATTTTTAGTTTCATAATTTTACATGTAAATTTCAAATAAAAGAGAACTTTAAGGACCACCCATAACTAACCCATCTTTTTGAGCATACAATTTATTATTATATTGGAAATAGTTTTGATTAATACATTTATTGATTGAATATTTTTTTGTACTTCGTTCGTATTAAATTTATTACTATGTATACGTTTACTTCTTAAAAAATTTACTATTCCGTGTTTAGGAATGGATGTATATACATTTTTGACGTCAAAAGAAATCATTTTGTAACCAGGCACAGTATTAACCATTTTAATAGTACATTAATTAATTAATTTTATTTTTATATCTTTCTCTCTCTCTCTTGGTTAAAATCCTAAGATTGGTTTGCAGCTAATTTCTATTCTTCTCTCGTATCCGCTTTCCTTTTCATTTGCACACAGGATTCACATCCTTGGTCCCTTATTAATTGTTGAATATACTCTAATCTTGGCCTTCCTCTATGATTTTTTCCTTCCACATTTTCTTCTATATATTCTTCTATGTATTAGTTTCCATAACAAGTGGGTTATGATCAATAATCAAACCCATAGAGTAAACAGTTGTAATTATAATTTGTTCTAATATTTATTATTTGGCCTGTCCTAATAAAATATTCTGATTTAATTAATAATAATATGTTATAATATTATACTTACAATTATTTTTATTCAAAAAAATAATACTTACATCTGTTATAAAAACGATTAATATATTCTTGTTGGTATTCTAAAAAAAAAACATTGTAAATTATAACAGTTAAACTCATCATAGACGATATATGTATAATATAATATAATGTATATTATATTATATGTATAATATAATATGATGTATATTATATAATTAAATCAATGAATTACTACCACTATTTAAAGGGAAAATTGAGTTGGTAAGTATTAAGTATCTATGTTGTATTGATGAATAGTTAATTGACAAATAATATTCGCTTTATTATGATTTATGAACAGATATTCTATTTTTATGAATATCACAAGGTTTAGAAAACAATGTTGAAATACATAATATAATCTTGATTATTTGTTTGCTCGTTTTCTAGATTACTAACTATGGCAGATTGGTAGCTAACCGTTGGAAAGAATCTAATTTAAAACTGAGCAATTAGCCCTGCCTAACACCTTATAAGTAAGCATTGGTATATCTGAAGCAGATTTAAGAGGGGGGGGGTGATCTATTATCATAATAGTTATTGTCAGGGGAGAATTCGGGAGATGGGTCTAAAATTTAATTCTTATAGGTATATATTATATATACTCATATTTTGTACGTTATTTTAAACGTACATCACGTACTACAAACTTCAAGTTACAATTTTTAAAAAAGTTTAAGGGGGGTATCGCCACGTCATCCCGACTCGTCAAATCTAGCATTATAGATGTTATTATAGGTGCCATTATAGTGGGTACTAGATAAATAACACACTCTATTATAGCTGTCACAGAAAATTACTTGCCAGTAAAAGATTTAACTGTCACAGGTGTAATTGATTTATTTCCTAAGAAAAAAAAATTAAACAATTATTTTATTTAAGTTTTTACTATATATAGAGATAGTGATTAGAATTTTATGTTATAAAAATTCTCTCCTTTAAATACACAAAATAGAGAATAATGTATAATTAAGCATTTTTATTAAATAGTATAATCGAAAATTAAATGCGGGCTTGAAATTTTTAGACGCCATTTTGGGGAGAGGGGGAGGATTGGGAGTGAATTTTTAAAATTCAATATTCCTATATTGGAAATTCCATATATATTTAGATGGAGTATTAATTCAAATACATTTTGGTGTTGACATTTTTGATTTCGGTCAACCCGTTAAATTATTTTTAACAGTGGCTGCACCCGTCTCCATTATCCTAGGCCATCTTTTTTATTATATTGTGTTTAATTTTAGAAACACTTGTTTAAAAATTGGGAAGAATTTTCAAAGGACGGAGATCGTTTAAAATGTTTAAAAAAACATCGGCTGTCGATTCCTAACAATAAGTATATAAACATTTTTTTTTGAACTAAGATTTTTAATTCTTTAAAAAACGTCAGTTTTTTGTTTGAAATGTTTATTATTTTTTTATTTGGTTTTATATTGATTATATTTTATATTAATATTTAACAACATAAATTAAGATATAATTATAATATTTTATTATATATACATTTTTAGATTAATTATTAATAAATAATAGATCATACATTATTATAAAATGTGTGATTTTTGCAATGTAAAAATTTAAAATAGTGTGCGGCTTTAACCTACTAAATGTGTGCGATTTTAACCTGCCAAAAGTGTGCGATTTTCGGATTCATCGAAATAATGAAATCTTAACGCCGTAAATTTATCAGTTTTCATTTTACGGTTTTCCGGTTTTTCTATTTATTATGAAAACTGCTAAAAAAAAAATAGAAAAATGACTTTAATGAATAGGTACATTTTTAGTTGATATTTTAGAAGGTTTTCAATTGGTATTTGTTTCTATATCGTATATATTTTATAAATAGTTCAATGTCATTTTTTTTTTTTATTAAAATGGATAAATGATTTTTGATTGGTCGTTATAATTAGATTTATATATTCATGTACAAATTAATTTATAAATAAAATAATGAAATATTATAATAATGTTTAATAATGATAACTTATTGTTCGTACTAATGAATGCTTCGTAATTGCTTAGGCCATTATCATCTGAATAACATAATATATGTAAAAATTAATAAGAATTTATTTTAATATGCTTACTCAAACGCAAAGTATTTTTATTTAAGTAATTGAATTTTTGGTACACTTTAAAATACTATTTGAGTAATATTATTATACTCATGTTGGGTCACGGGAATAGGGTCAAAAATAGACGGGTTTTTATCAACACTGAATGAGAGTAGGAATGGTTAGATAAGCTCATTGATCCGTCAGATAATGCGGTTTCAGTTGTCGTCACTATGGTGCAGTGGTGTGTTGTTCATTGTGTATTTGAATACGACGCATTTGTGAAAAACGATGAATCAGTAGTATTAAATCAGCACGTATATCGTTGTCGTCAATAAAATACCATTTAATACCATACAATTTTGGTCGTCAGAACCAATAAAATAGTATACCTCAATATCTAGTACTAATAATGAATCATATAGACCCTTTTATCTGATGGATCGAATAAGCTTATAATAAGCTAGACCTTCCTACTATCATTCAGCGATGAGAAAAACTCGTCTAGTTTTGGTCCTTTTCTCGTGGTTCACCTTGTACATGCCATAAATGTTATAATAGTTATAATCTTAAAAAATGGACACTTGTCCATAAATATAAAATAAATAAATATTATATTATAATTTATAACAGTAAAATTATTAGAATGTAATTAATATTTATATACACATTTCGATAAAATTAGTAATTGTCCAATTGAAATTTATATTTCACCATATATTTTATTTACGTTTGTGTTTTTTTTTTAGTTCAAAGGATTTTGACTCTTCTAGTGCAAAATAAAAAATATCTATTAGATAAACACTAACTCGGTTAAAAGGAAATACATTGAAATAGATTTGCATGTATTATGTTAGTTAAATATTAATACTATTTACACTCTAAATATTTAAATCTAACTTAATTAAAAAAGGATTCCAGTGGCCAATTATTACATACAACCATGTTCTAATTTGTTAGTGATCAGACAGTCCTCGACAAATAATAATTGTCAATTTTTCTTAATTTCAAAATTGTTTGTAGAAACATAGTACTTACATATGAATCCTATATCAATTAATTCATCTATGCCAATTAAAAATTGATATTAATCACTTTATTAGTATTTATTAAATTTATATTGAATATACATAATACCCAAATATTAATGAAGAATAATATTTTATAAATTAAAATTATTTATATGATAATTACATTAAATATAATACAGTGAAAACTCTTTATAATGAATTATTTTTTTTATGAAAAACTGCATGTAACGTAAAAATTACTTAATAATGGTTGATTTGCTTTACAACCCATAAATTAGTTCTTTAACTTTCTCTATTGTGAAAATTTTCGATAACGAAAGAAATATCTTAGTTCCTTGATTCGCTATGAAGAATTTTGACTTTAGTTTTAAATTTTATTCATGTTTGCAAACATATTGTTTAGATTACTAAAATAGAAACTGAAATCTTACCATAACATACTAGATTGAGAACCAAAAAAAAAAAATTATTAAAAATGTATTATAATTTTATTTTATTAGTTAAATTTAAGCTAAAATAATTTAGACAGGTATTAATTTTAAGTGAATTATTGAATGAACAGGGAATAATGTAATATTTATGACATTTCTGATAAGAGTTTTAATAATTTTATCATTAATAATATGAATGTATAGTTCAGTTTCTGTATAACAAATAAATTACCTACAGCTAGTAATGCAAAAATGTAAAATGTACATTCAGTACAAATTAGTTTTAAAGGTTGAAATAATAATATTTTCGTCATATTTCGATATATTTTTAACAGAACGTATTTTTTATAAATGATATTAATGATAAATACATTTATTTTTATTTTTTGGGGGTCATATTGACTCATTCGGTTAATGGACTCAAATGGTCTGGTTCCAAAGTGAATTTAATAAGCAATGGCGACTGTATATAAAATATAATAGTTCATCTACCTGTTTTGAAAACAAATTATCTCAAAAAACAAATACTAACATTAAAAATAATATTAAAAATCAATAACATTAATAATTTTGAATTTACCTTTGAGAAGGCAAAGGGCTTCTTTTTCTCCTTGAGAAGCTACATAATAAAAAATAAAAGTAAAAAAGAGCTGATACTGAGGACGGGTGACGCCACTGTTGTACACAGGAAGTTAGAAAGGTAGAACATATTAAGTTAACGAAAAACGATTCGGAGCGAAGTTCGGTAAGACATATTTTGAAATGCCATAATTTTTACAATTGTCGTCAAAATTTGATCTTAAAAATATTCTTATGAAAAAAAATTCATGCATTAAAATCAAATTTGTTTTTTAGATGTAACTATGTAAGTATAAACGAATTTTGACCAGAAATAATCAGGGAAGAGTTATAAAAAGCATTGAAATATCTAAAAGTTAAAACCATTCAGAATCTAAAAGCAACGAGGATAAATGAAATACCAGCAGAAGACGTATTAAACAATTTATACAATACAACGATAGAGAAGCTGTTTAATATTATCATCACAGATTGTTATGAAAAAGGAAAAATCCCCAACAAATTCTTCACAAGTAAATGCATTACCATACCTAACTGCTTTAATTACAGGATAATTTCTATTCTATTTCATGTGTCAAAAATACTCTAGAATATCATAAAACATAGATTGAAGAATAAAATAGAAAACCAAATAGAAGATGATATATTTGGATTTTTAGGAATGAAAGACGGACAAGAAAAGCGATACTAACATTACGTAAAATTCTTGATGGGACAAAGACCAAGAGGAAGATATAGAATTAATTATTTCCATGACGTAGAAGAGAAGATAGGCTGCACATTCTATCAACAACTAAAGGAAGCTGCGAAGGATAGACGCACCAGGCGTGGTCTTTAAAACATGAACATAAGAGTCGGTGTGTCATTTACACATATTATTGAACATGAAATTGGATGGGTTAAATTCTCTTGACAACTTGTCGTTTATGAAAATCGTAAGAAGTAAATTGTTTTTATAGTCATTAAATATTAATATTATAACATAGTAAGTACCTTAATTTACAGTATTATTATTTTTTTTTTTTTAAATTAAAATATGCGTTTACTATTACTATTATTATTACTATTACTAACTTAATTTTAAAGCTGTAGCTTTAAAATATTCCGTATAATCCTTGGTGTCACCTAAAAAAAACAGACCATAAAAATTTATAAATCTCGTAAATATCAGTAGTTTTATTTAAGTTAAATTAAAATATGTTGCATATGGTATGAGTGAATATAAATCAACTCAATTTGTATATACTCGTACACACTACACATACATGTATAAATTTTAAAATAATTATAAATTATAATATGCAACTAATAATGCTTACTTTCGAATTTGAACTCTTTTACTTCTTGTTCTACAATAACAGTTAATAGTAGAATACTAAATTAGCAAAAAACATATTCAATAGAAAGACATAATTGTAGGTATGTACTAAGTATATTCAGTAGCGTATTTAAGGGAAGGTTGGGGGTATCTAATGAGATGGATACTAATCATCTGCTCTTAGAGGCACACAAATTTTATTATATCAGTTGATAATTTTATTATATTAGTTGGAATAATTTAGTTGAATTTTGCCATTTAAATTGTACCCCGTTCCCTGTACAAAAAGCAAGTCGTAAATACACCACTGGATATTAAAAATATATTTATATTAAATATTTCATAACATGTGAAATAGTTAATATAATGAACTATATTATACAATTGATAATTGTAGTTTTAAATTTACCTTGACAAACTAAAACAATAACACATTTATTTTAGTATAGTAAGTTATACAATATAATACAATTTGTAATATTATTATAAAGGTACACATTATTATTTTTATAGTAAAATGATAACCCCTAAAGCCTATAGAAGTTGAAATGAGGACAGAAAGACATGTAGGTAAAGGTTTTTAAAAAAAAAAATTTCTATTTTTATATGATAACCCAACCTGGACAATGTCAGTGATGACAAATTTTCTTATCTTTAATAATATATATAAAAACGAATGTATGTATATTTATTTATCTTTTATGCATTATTACACCATTCATGCGATCATCATGAAATTTTGAGAAGTATTTTCACGTTGTTCAGAGACGATTTATAACTATTAAAATCCATCCCCTATTGAATACCATTCCCTAAAATTCGATTATTAGGAATTTTAAGTATGGAAATATAATTATTTTTGTTGATCTATAGGTTACCTCGGGAACAAGGATGCAAAAAAAAAATTATTGATTTTTGTAGTGCAATCCCTGTATTGGCAATGATCTATGGTAATACTCATATACATAATGATAATATTTATCTATTAATTATCTTTAAAAACTTTTTTATTGCACGGGACAGCTTGTATAATTAAAAAAAAATTTATTGTACCTATTAATAGTCAAATATTTATTGATGTAAACCTAGTTCCCGAATCGGCATACATATTAATACATTATTATAATCTTTTAAAAAACGGATTTTTATTGAGATTTTCATAATTACTTTTCATTGCACACCAAGTTTTTGCACTTCGTACAAGCCCTTTAAATAAATAAAACCACAAGACCTTGTATACGTCTTTATTTCACAATGTAAATTTAGTAATGCACACTGTTATAATTGGAAGTTAATGAATGTGAAATTCTGCCGTTTAGCGTGAAACAAACTTAACTTCTGTTAAGTTATTATAAAGAAGAAAATGATTTAAGGTGAAAAATAAAAATAACTTTAGGTTTCTACCTATGTATAGATTTTATTACTTTTTATAATAAATCTATAATCTAATTTTTATTTTTATAATTCACAAATTACGAAATAAAACAATTAGGTATGAATTTAATTTCCTAAAGTGTTTTTATAATTTTATATAATATTTTCAATTACAATTGTTGAATTAAAATTATATTTATAGTACTGCTATTTATTTATAAAACATAGTAAGCGCCACTTTATCAATTTTAATTTTTTCATTGTACTCTGTATTTACATACACAATAAAAAAAAATGCGTTGGTAAAATGGAGTTTACTGTGTTTTAAAAATAGACAGTAGCCTAGTAGGTATTATATAGTTCTATTCATATTTTGTATTTAAATATCAAATTATAAAACATTAAAAAGTCTTCTTAAACTTGAAAGGCTCAACAATTTATTTAGAAAAACTCAAATATTTATTTTCATTTTATTTATTTATTTTTTAATCAATTATTATTTTATTTGTAGTATACGCACTTATACGTATACTACATAATTTATACGTACTAGGTGCATTAAGGGTAGTCAATTCGAGTTCTTCAGCATATTTTCTTGGATAACCTAAAAAATATTATTTTCTATTAAAATTGTGTGCATATCTAAATTGTATGTGATAGTAAATTTTACTCTGAACTATTAAGTTTTTAAAAATGTAAATTAATGTAATTGTTAATTATTATTTTATTTTTTTAAACCATTAAACTAAATCATACAAATATTAAAGTTAGTAGGTATTGAAAATACACATAATTGAATTAGCACCAAATACAAAAGAGACGATACTGGAGATGAATGTGCCATTTTTGTAGTTGGGATATGAGAAGTTGGGAGGGTAGGATATATAAAGTAATTTAATTTATATAAATGCAACAAAATATGATTCTGAGTGAAGTTCGGTTACACATATTTGAAATACCATGATTTGTACCTAAAGTATTTGTTAAAATGCTTATAAAACAAATTACGCTCAATTTGTTTTTATCACCAACTTTATCTTATAATATATTTTGTTTTAAACATTCGAGCATTTTGACTAAGTCTAAAAAATTATATTTATATAAATCAAACATGCACGTATCCAGGGAGGGTCTATTGGGTTTACCTCCTCCCCAATATTGGGATGTAGTCTGCGCACATTTTTACAACTCGTTTGCGTACAGATTTTCTTTCCCGAAAATGTTGACATATTAAGTTTTATTTTCATTTAATTCATGATTTTTAATAATTGTTTAAAGTTCAGAGAAAAAAAGTGTGCGTTCAATTAGCTACAATAATGATGATAATTAATTAGCAGTCTGTTGCATAATTTCTCTCTGAGTTATTTCTGAGCTTTAAATAAATTATTAAAAATCACGAATTAAATGAAAATAAAAAAACTGTCAACATTTTTAGAAGAATAATTAAAAATTAGTTTAAAAAAGTTTTGTATATTAATAATATACTATGGAAACTGTATTCAAAATTATTTATTACTATTGAAGTTTTGCGTACATTTTGAGCAAAGAGATTGAAATATTTTTTTTGTCCCCCACCCCTCTAAAATAAATTTCTGGATATGTGTCTGAATCAGATAAAAACTTTTAAATGACTATACATAGTTCATAAATCGTTAAATTATTTACTACAGCTAAAAAGGGCTAATAAATGTATTCTGTGAAAATATCAGATCTCTACGATTTGTTTAATTGCAGAATAATAACAAAACAACAGCAATTGTTATTGTATACATTTTCCAATTTTTCTCTCGTTTTATTTCAGGTTTTTTTTGTTTATTAAGAAAACTACAAGGAAAATCAAACAAATGATAGAATTGATATACATTAATAACACAATATTCTCTATATTTTCTATTCTACCCGATATCATCCCTAAAGTTAATGATTAAAGCAAAATTTTTAGTAAAAAAGTTGTTAATAAACAGTGAAAAAAAAACCATCACGATCAGATGCTCAGAATCTGAAATATTGTTTTAAAATACTAAAGACATTACAATAATGTTTAATATTATTTATTATAGTTTTGTTCAATTTTTATCTTTTGTATATTTATTATACAATTAATTATTTATTTGTATTTGTATGGTTTTTGATACAGGTATTAGCAATATATGAACTGGAGGTATGGTCATTAAACCAATTACCTTACCAAGTATCTGGAAACTTAAATTCGAATATATTATATTTAATAATATTCACCCTCCAATTTTTCTTTTTGAACCTGTAAAGCTAAAATTAAAATTAAATAATTAATAATTCAACGAGGTATAAATTTGTATTGGCCTACTATATAAGTCACCATTTAAAATTTAAGTCTTAGAAAATTTGAAAACCAGTTTTATAGAATTCAAATAATAATATAAGTTATAATTAACTAACTCATATGAAAATACAAATAATTGTAATTGTATTAAAGTATACAATTTGCGGTTACCAAATGGTTAAATTATATATATATATATATAAATAAAAAAAAAAAACAATAATAATAATAATAATAAATTTGAGATTGTTTGAGAACTGAAGTTGCGTTTTCGTTGCTTTTTATGTATAGGATGGGAAGAAGATTCCTGATTAACGAGGAAAGATAAAGGAATGTCAAAAAATGATCTCCTCAATGCATCAAGTGTGCATTGTGTGTGTTCGAGTGAAAATCGTGTTAAAAAAAAAAACGCGTTATAAAACCATGGATACATTCCTAAGAATCTAAATCTGTAATGTGTTTCAAATTGAATGTTTTTCAAATGAAGCAAAATGTTAGAAATGTGGTCGAAAAAAACTGATCCCAATCTGTCCCCACCCTATCTGATTTCTCTTTGTTTTCTGTTTTCACTTCATCTGTTATCAGTTTTTATATAAAATAAAATCTTTTAACGTGACAATTTCAATGTTATTATTAATTTTTATTTTTATTTAAAAAAAATTTAAAATTAAAACGTCAATAATATGAAAGGCTGAACCTTAGATCATATACTGTAGATGTAGCTACTGCATGTATGCTTGTGTATTAGATTTGAAGCCGAAATAACTGGAAAAGCTAATGCCTTGGTTATTACTGCGCATGCGTAAATGACTGATAATAAATTAATATTACGTTATCACTTATAAGTATCAGACTACCGCACTAGGCTACAATAATCTTTATGCAAAATACTATATGTATTATTGCAAATTGCAATGCGTAGACCAGATTTAAACCTCGGATTAAACTATAGATCTAAATTTTCTAATTGCAATTCTCGTTTTTTTATTATAATTTAGAATTTATTATATACGACTGTTTTTACTACCTTTAACAACATGCCAAATGCAGGTTGCACCACTATGCTAAAATGCATACAGTATCCATCACTGGTAAAAATGTAAGAAGGAATTTTACTAAATTTATGTTATTTAAGAATCAATAGTTTGGTTGTTGTTTAAATAGTTATTTTTATAGTAAGTAAGTTGTAATTGTTTATGATTTTTAAGTACTGATTTTATTTAAACATTTTATTAAACAATAATATAAAACTTTGAATTTCGATAGAGTAAAATAGTTATAGTTATTACTTATTACATTCTTGGGCTGCTTGTTTCTCATTGATTATTTATAAGTATTTTAAAAAAAATTTTAATATTCAAAAATTAATTATGCTTACACATTAGTCACATTAACATAAATACACAATAAAAATGTTATCAGTTAATAGTGGGTTGATTTGAATTAACGTGCGCGTTGTTTGAATAATGTGATAATTGAATAATTAATCAGAATTACGTGCACGCGCACAGTTGGAGCTCTAGGTTATTATGGCTTCAAGAATTAGGCTACACGATGGCTACATCCTTAGTATAAGGGCTGAACCAATCTTATGTGATAACTTATAATTAGAATTACGGAGGAGGTAAACTGATTAGTGCCACGAATCTCTAACTAAATCGGTTTATTTTTACACTATTAACCACAATTATTAATCGGAATCGTTAATTAGGATCAGTAAAGCAAACCGGTTTACGCTGGCGAATTTCTCGTATTACATACCTTGAATTTTATCTGCTGACCTTCCATTATATTGATTAAACGAGTAGTACTTATCTATAATATTATGTGAAGTAAAACTGTTATTTAATTGACACACATATTTTTTTTTTTAGAGTTACTCAGATAAACTTTTTTTACAAGATTATTCAAAGATATAAAACAATAATAAAACCATAGCGTTAGTGATGCCATTGTAAGTGCATAATATAATTATTAATTTTAAAAAACAACAAAAAGGTTTTTTGTTAATTGAGATTTAATAACTTTCCATGAAATTTGTGATGATAATTTATGAACTATTATAAAATACAATGTATCTATTTGTAATATAAACAATAACCTGACTACCTGGGATACGATTACCTTACCCTTATTACTTACTATCATCGTTAGGCTACGGTTGTATGTTAAAAGTTAATAATGGCAATAACTACAAACTATAGTAGTATTATTAGTTGCAAACAAAAATATCGATTTTGAGTGGATTCTGAACAAAACCTTTTTTTTTCTTCTTTTAAATTTCATATTTTTAATTATATTTGTATTATATAAATACTTTTATTTTTGCATTAAGTGACTAAGCATATTTAATATTTATTAATTTTAAATGATGAAACAATGTTTTTACCAAATACTAATAAAACTTGAGGTAATTTTTTAAAAGTTTAAACATTTTTTTATTTGAATACGCGCATATGTAAAGTTAATTAATGATTAATATATGAATATATTAGATACTTAAACATATGCTAATTACAATAATAATGAGTAAACAGAATGAGATTGAACAACAAAGGAATAAAATACTAAATTTTAAAGGAATAGACAGTAAACTAAAAAGAACAATATATTATAAATGGTTAAATCATAAAAGTACCGGTTCGTAATACCACCTGAGAGGAATGAAAAATGTTTGTTTATGTTATATTTTAGATTATTACAAGGGACCAGGGCTCTATTGATAGGTGAATAATAGCCATATAGCGTCCTGTGTTTTGATAAAAAAAATATTGGTCGGGTTCTGAAATTGAATGATGGAACTGATACATCAATTAAGCTAAGAAGGAAACTGTCGCTAAATTGAACCATGTAGTATGTTATAAATGCTTATAAGCTCCACAAGAATTTCATCATCACTAATTTTAGTTTTAGAGGTAGTTGAAGACATGATTTTTGAACAACTCGAACACTTCCAAAGTTTGTAATGACTTACTGGATTAGTAATAGCACAAGTTTTATGCCAAATTAAGTTATAACTAGTGCAGGAAATACTGGGCTGGTTCTATTGATAGTTAAAGAGCACGAGATACAAACAATCATTACACAAAAATATAGATAAGTCGTACTGATAAGAGTACAGATGATACGCGAGATAGACACAACATCATGCATGACATTATGAATTGTGAAAGTATGTACTGTTATATACTGAACAATTTTAAGTGTTTATCCCCTTTGTTTGGGATTTATATTTTTTTTTTGGAATTTGTTTCACTAAAATATAATACTTACCTTTACTGGGCATTAGAGATTCAAGTTGTCCTAAAACATTTAAAATTTAGTTGTGAGACAAAGAAATAATAATACACACGTACTCTAAAAATTTAAATGGTTAAATTAAGATGGTAGGTATATTTACAATCTACATTAATTATTACTTACCGGGTAAGTAAACTTTGATAACATCTTCTTCCTCTAAACAATGTTAATAATGCATATCATATTACAATTGTAATGTATATGTATTATAACTCTATCCGATTAAGAAGAAAATAAAGCAAAATACTAGGTCATTCTGCCGAAATACTTCGCATCTCGATATATTTAGGCATTTTCAGTAGTTATTTTAATACTAAAATAAATCAGTGGAAAAAAAATTGAGAACAATACAAATAAATGCTCATTTCTAGTATATACTATACCTATATATCCTAGACAGTTGTTAAAATGTGTCGATCAGTTAACTCATAATTAAGTTATGATAATTTAATGTTATTATTTTAAGCAGATTATATTAGATAATTAGGATTTAAACAAAGATTATAACATTTTATAATACATACTCATCCCAACTAATTTATACTTGTAATTCAATACACCAGTCGTGTCTTAAAAACAAAAAAATTACTAAGTAAAATCAAAACAGTACTTAAGGAATATAAGCATTTCTTATATTAAATAAAAATAAAAACATTAGTCATAATTATAATACGTAATACATATAAACTGGTTTTATGAATTAATATAAAAAAATTTATGTGCATTGTCAGTATATTTATTTTGAATTATTTTACTGGCTCAAAGAGTAGGTAATCTAATAAAGTACACTGCTTACTGCTCAGTATTCCACAATAAAATGTACATAATAATATAGTTCTATATTCTCAGTTACATCATATTAGTCTCTAAAATCTTAGATATCTGTTATATTAAGTATCACTTTAAATTTTAAATCGTTTATGTTACATCATGGCTTCTCGCCCTGGTCAAAATCGATTTAGAATATCGATAAAAATCATTAAAAATCTTTTAAAAAAAATTGAAATTTATAATAATTAATAACTAATATCGATAAGCAAAATTGAAATTAAAATCAGTAAAAACTAATATCGATTAGTAATATTTAAATTAAAATCGAAACATTTTTTTTCGATTTCAATTTTTAAGCTCTGGTTTATTTCGGCAATTGGGAATTATTATTTCTAACACAATATTATATCATATTATTATCGTTAAAAAGTTTTACTATCATGAAAAAACGTTAATTGTAGCGATATTGTGACTTTATTCTGTGCGACTATTTAGTAATAATGTTATTCTAGATCATGAACATTAGAGTTGTTCTCTAGTATTCATGCTTTTCATATTCAAATATTAAATTATCATGTTATAATTTGATAAGGATAAAATATTTTTACTGATAAAGTGATAACTGAGTAAGATGGTTATATCCATAGATAATGAAATACTTTTATTCAACGCAAAATGTTCAGTAATTCACCGATTATGGAATCATTAGTTTACAGAACGGTATTTATGCAACCCGGAATAGTAATAGTGATTATAAAAATTCGCTATTTCGATGCTATTATAATTTTATAATTGTAGGTATTGACCTAGATAAACCCATTATACTATTAGCTAAACTGAAATTAAATCAGTAAAAATTAATATTGTTAAGCGAAATTGAAATTAAAATCGAACAAATTTATTTCGATTTCAAGCTTTGACCACGACTCAATGGTCAATACTGCCAAAGGCCTTAAGGAGTAAAAACCGATGGTATTTTTCGAAAATATGTATACACACACACACACACATACACTTTATCGCAAACAGTAATTGTTGGGTTCTTTCACTGCTTAAAATCGAATATTTTAACAATTAAAAAATTACTCAAAACTATGATATTTTGTTATAACGTAAAAATAAATAATAATTACTTACATATAAATCCTACGTCATAAAGATCATCTGTTGAAAATTAATTATTATTAAACTATTTAAATAATTATTAAGTAGGTAGTATTACAATCAGTGCATATATATACATATATATTAATGTAATAATCTTGATATTATCTTACTTAAACAAGCTAGAATAAAAAAAAAATGCATATTAAAAGTATGATAAGAAATGATACGTGGATTTATTTGTTTAAAATGGGGGAGGGGTAATTGGTAAGGTAGTACTTAAGTTATATTTTCACTACTATGAAATATTATTAAATCTCTATAATAAATATAGTGATATATTTCATAAAATATATACCATAATTCCTATATATATAGTAAAGGTTAATTACTAATAAATTAATTATATTTCGTTCAAAACTTAGCTATTTTATAAATTCTAACCATAAATCAATGTTTAGTTTAGTATAAAAGTATAATATTACTAAGGATAATATTTAAAATAGTTTTTTTTTAACATTATATTATAAATTTATATGCTTATTACCATGTACCTACTGATGAATTTCTATCAAATTAGATATTTTTATTTTATTGATCAGATCTCAATATTTTTGATATTGTTAGGGAATTATAAGAATTCGATTAAATGAGTTATTTTATTTGTATACTAGCTTGCGAGTAGGTTAGCGAGAATCGATGGTAATCGAAATTATAATCGACCCATAAAAATAAACTAAAATAATAGTACCTATAACTACAAGGTGATAATTTATTGCGAACTATCAATTTTTCCGGAGGATTTTAAGGGAAATTGGTTTTTTTTTTTAATCGTTTTAGTTTTGTTTAAAAGTATTTTTAATTTTTTAGTATTACTCCATGTAGCTTTACTAAGTATATACTTTTGTTTTTTTCAAAATATGAATTCCCTATTTCCAAAATATAATAAATTCTAATAGAGAATATTTTTCTAGAATTCTTGATATGTATAACATTAATATCAGATTTACCGTTTATGAGATATAACCGTTTAAAGTTTAGATCGGAGGAGTAGGGAATGGGTAATATAAATTGCATCATATCTATTTTTAAATGATAAATTAATAACTCTTACTTACTCCTCCGATCTAAACTTTAAACGATTATAACTCATGAACAGATCTTTCCATGAATCTGATATTAATGTTATGCATATCAAAATGTCTAGAAAAATATTATCTAAATAATCTATTCAAATTTATTTTATGTTCGAAATGGTGGATTCATATTTGAAAAAACAAAAGTGTATAGTATAATTATTTAAGGTGTACGGAGTAAGGGTAAAAATTAAAAATAAAGCTTAAACAATTCCACAATGATTAAAAAAAAAACAGAAATCAATTTCACTTAAAATCCATTAAAAAAAAGTGCTAGTTTATGATAAAAAAATTGCTCTGTAGTTAAGTTATATTATTCTAGTTTATTTTTAACTGGTCAATTATAATTTCGGTTACCATCGATTTTGCCTACTCGCAGATTGGCATACAAATTTAACAACTAATTTAATCGAATTCCCATTTACGATATCAAAAATATTGAGATCTGATCGATAAAATAAAAATACCTAAATTTATATAAAATTATCAGTATATGGTGATAAGCATGTATAGATTTTATCAATCAAATTAATCAAGTTCACTTAAAATCCTCCAAAAAATTGCTGGTTCATGATAGCATAATCACTCAGTATATCATTAAGGTACCTAATAATGTTTGGTTATCTAATAAAAAAAAAATAAATGAAAATTAAATACTTAAAAACTTGCATGTTAAAAGAAAAAAAAATTACCTATCTGTTATAATAAAGAATCATAATACCTACATTAAAGCAGGATTTTACTTCGGGTGGAGAGGACGCAGGAAGATAGAATATCTCAATTATTTTTCAGAAATCTTAGCTATAAATGCTTAAAAAAAAAAAAAAAATTACTACTATCGTTCAAATATTTACCACTAATTAATAATCGTTGTGTTAAATTATGAAGCATTTTCGCAAGGTCAAAATAATACCATCCAAATAAAACCAAATACAAATTTAAAACTCGAAAATATAAAATGTTAATAAACAGCTCAAAAATTAACAGAATGTTTTGAAAATGGTACGATGTCAGGAAAGAGTAATATAAAGTGTACATAAATATGTAGTGCAATTTCCGGTTTTTCGATTATTTTCACTGAATTGGAACAAAAAAAAAAAATAAATAAATAAATATAACTGAAACTGTTATTGTGTAAATATAAGTATAAATTAATATAGTATAATAATATACACGGCAAAAACTGCAATCGTATGAATTATTATAAATTTATTATTTTAATGTCCACGCAGAGTGCAATTTAAGTATAATGTGTGATAAATGTTCGTTACTTACTATTAAAATTTGCATTTCTGACGAATGGTGGCATTTCCATGATAAATACCGTTAGAGTAATGATTGTAAAGTCAGTTCGAGAGAAAAACATGATTTTCTATTTCGAAATTGAATTAGAGTTCTTAGAATAATTATACTGGTTTCATACACATGACTAACGGTGATATTAGATATTGTTTACAACTCTGAGTATTATGTTTCAGATTAATATCATCATTTTATTTTTTATTAACATACACAAAAATTCAAATTACGTAGTCACCTGTTCACTTGTTTAAATATTAATGATCGAACAAACAAACATCTAGACGGTTAAATTATTTGGGGACACATGCCTAAGCTGAGTTCTAAATAATCGGGCACACCATTATTGTTCGGTAAATGTAAATGTCTTGGGTAAACAAAGTCCAAGAAATTTATGTGTAATAGGTAAACATGATTCCGAGAAAATTATCCGTTAATATGTGGATTTCGTGTGTGCAAAATTTAATGGTGTTGATTGCCTTTTTATTTTTTAAAATCTTCTGATGGTGGAAATCAAATATATTTATATTTATTTCATTGCGAAATATTTGAATATAAAATTTAGTTAAACGGCGTGACGTAGAAATATTATTGTACAGGATTGAGCGACCTCCACACCTAATACTATGTACTGCAGTTACGCACACCGTGTCAGTTAGTATGCCATCTGTGTTTAGTTTTCTATCTTTAGATAACTCTAAATTGTAAATTTTGCGCGTATTATTATTTACTGTTCTAAAAAGTGTTGGCCGAAATAAAAAACACACGTCGTTGTGAAACTCTGCTAACGAGAATAATATATTTAATTATTTTCTTAATAAATTACCCGTTTCATTACTTTCTATATATATCGGTATTTTATCGAATAGCTCGAAATTTAATAAACCTTTATGGAATTCATGTCTGTCGGTGTCTGGAGTTCTCAAAATTCACAATACGTTTTGCTACTACAGTTATGAAGTAATTCAATACTATATATTACAAACCGAGTCTAATTAATCAAACGTCCAAGCGCACACTAGTGTTCAAAACATGATCCGGTTTCTCAAAGACCGGATCGAGGACTAGTGAAGAGAAATTAAGATCAGAATCGGACTGGACTGATAAAATACGTATACGTAGTACGTAAACAAAGAAACTAGACCGAATCGTTTTTTTCCTTTTTAGCTAAAATAGTTCAAGACTGGGCCGTGTTTAGGTATATAAAATATAAATTTAAGACCAGGTAATGGTACCATACATAATGTATTGTGTACTTACAAATAACAAATTGTCTATTTATAAATGCGATGTTCGTCATGTTATTTATTTTCGTTTCGTGTTATGGACTAAAATAAATGTATGGATAGTCTGGACCGGACTGAATTTTTCAGAAATAGATTTTCTAGTAAAATGACTGTTGGTTTTAACAAATCGGGCCAAACCGGCCCGGATCGTTGTGAATTCAAAAATAAAAAAATTCTGATCGGACTGGACTGTGCACTTAATTGATAATAAACGCATTTTTCATTGTTTTCCCGTAATTTTATTGATTATAATTTTTATTGTTTTCATAGTAACACGATTTATAGGTGTTTTTTTATAAAGGCAATATCATAAATACCTAATTCTTTACTCGGAGGAAATTATCGGCGTTATTTAATTTAGATTATTATTATTTATAATATGAATAAAATGATCAGCCAATATTTAAAAAAAAAAACGGTTTTTTCTCACTTCCTATTCTTGGCATATTTTAATGAGACATTGACGATGCGCCATTATTCGGACGAATAATTCGTATAACATATAAATCATGTGCAACTACTTACTACTACTAACTACTTACTAAAGCGTTCAGGAGATATAATCTTTACGAGGTCATTAATCACCGAGGGAAATGAGTAGGGGTCGTCTATCGACTGTTTTATTACTAATGTATTACCATTTTCTAAACTACGACCCAATGTGTTGAACACATCTGTTTTTATATATAAATGCATCACCACCCGAAGAATAATATGTTTTTACAACTTATGTATGTATAATAGTAATATTAGAAAAAAAATGTTATCGAAGGGTATGAGTCGTTTAGTTTGGCGTGGGACATAAGGGCGTTTTTAAAAACTTCGGGTCTGTTAACAAATAGTATTAAAAGTGTATGTGTAGTCTTCTCAGTCTGAGTCGACAATATCCACTAGTTAGTGGGCCTGATTTTGTCTATATTATATTCATTATTGTATACAGTCAAAATCGAAAAAAAAAATATATTCTCCAATTAATAAAGTAAACACTCCAATTTTAGATTCTGAGCTGAGCGAGGGACCTATTGGTTTTACTATGTGTGGATTTTCTTTTCTGTCTGTGAACAACTTTTCTACCTGAAATCTTGCTCCAATCGAAAAATGAGAAGAGACCTTTTTTGTTGAATTTTAGATCTAGTTAATAAACTAGGATACTTTTTTATTTTACAAAAGGTTTTTCAATATAATTGGGAAAAACTAGAAAACCCGGACTATTGTGGCACGCTGCGACGTTACCGATTTCATTATTTTCAATTTATACGTATTATATTTTTACTAGAAATCTTGCTTCAATCAAAAAAGCACAAGATACCTATTTTATTGTATATTGAATCTAATTAATGAGTAAGTCAGTTTTTAATTTTTCAGGCAGTTTTTATAATTTTAACAGAAAACTCTTATTTGCCTATTCTAGAAGTCATACAATTTTTAAAACATTTTTTTGAGTTATTTATAGGCATTTTATTTTTGCGTTTTTTATGTAGTTTTTATTTGGTAGGTACTATAATATGAATATAGTTGTTTAACCAAACAGAAATGATTTAAAATTTACTAGGAGATTCATTTATAAGTTGTTTTTAGTGATAAAAAAAATGTATAATGGTATTAACATTAAATTTTGATGAAAATTGTAAATATTACGGTTCTTCAAATCGTGTATTAACGAATTTCGTTCAGAATCGTTTTTCGTTATTAATTGTTTATTGTTGATTACAGATATTAATTATAACCTTATATATTTACCGTCCCAGCTTTCCACCTACAACAGTGGCACATCTATCAGTAGTATCAGGTCTTTTTTATGCTTCATATACATTTTTACCGTGTTCACAATAAAATAATGAAAAATAATATAACATACTACGGCAGTATATATAATATGCTGATGAAAAATTACAAAAAAAAAAATCTACATTTTAATCGATCCCAAGTCTGTACAATTAAGAACGTGTGTGCTCAAATATTTATATTCCTTTTTTTCTTTTTTTAAACCTGAGACTCAGTTTAGCTTCACAAGGTGAATGGGGACTCAGCTTACCGAACCCGAGTTATACACGTAAAGCCACTGTCTATTATCAACATGTTATTTATATTTTGATAAAATCACAACGCGTTGTTTTCATTTATGTACACGTATAAAATATTATATTATCGTATCTATAAGAATTTTAACTGAAAACATACAATAATTACATGCAGTAATATTATTAACAATTATGGAATATTCGAAACGGTTTATTTGTTCGTGGGCGGATGACTTGCGATACTTCTGGAACGTGCGATATCGGACGAAGACGTTCGGTTTAAATAATAAATATAGATCGATACACTCCTGTACAGCCGCATAATCTAGCTTTGAGTGCAGGCAGCAGCTTGGCAACAGACGTGAAGTCTTGTAACAGATTTGCACACTCGCACATCAGTATGTATTGCTTGTCACCGTTCGATTGCGATTTGTGTAACGTGATTCTTCGTAGGCCGGCCGATTTCGGTAAATAATTATAGATCATTCGCGCACCTGCGTATAGTATATGCAACAAGTTGAAAAATGTGGTAAAAAACGGGAGGGGGAGGGAAAAGAAAGAAAAATCAATCCGGGTTTCTATATGTATACGAATCGAATAAGAATATTTCTTAGATACAGTTACGTTTTTACGCCGTTGAGACAGTTAAATAAATATAGTATATACTATAGCTGTACGAAAAACACTTCCACCATAATTATTATGCATCGTCAATCTTATTAGTACAAATTGGCTGTAGGCGATGAGGTGAATTTATATACGTAAGCATCGTGGACCGAGCATTTTTTATTCAAAACCCAGTCGATAATCTGTACTATACGACAATCTGCGGTAAAACGTCTACAAATTGGATTATTATTATTTTTTCTGCAATAATATCGATCACAAACATTCATTCCGTTAAAAGTATAGTATACTCAGATCACTCGAATATTTCTCGACCGAGTTGCCGAGTGTAATAAACTATACAAGGATTTTGTATTTTTCAATACTCATATATGATACAGAAACCTGAATAATTCGATTTTCTTTCCCGATCGCGAATAATTAATATCCAACCTACCTGTCCAATAAAGCCAGTGTTTTTCGAACTTTTCGCTGTCGTCGCCGTCGAAGACTTTGTACACTGTAATCATGTACGCAGTGTGCGTACCTCTAGGCCGCTTCGATTGGCTCATTGGTGGACATATGATATTTGCCACTTCGGTAAACAAGTCGAAAGTATGGTCGGTAGTGTGCTTGATGGACCGGGGGTCGAATTTTTTCAAAGTCGTATTTCGCACGTTCACGGCCACCTCTCGAGGATTAGACACTGAACTCTTATTCAACACGTAATACGTGATAAACGGAAACACAGCTACATTACGAGAAAAATTCAAAATTAACTAAAGATTTTTTCTAAAATATAAGGCTTATTATATAATATAATAAGTTTCAGAATAATATTAAAAAAAAAAAAAATAAGTTATTTAATTTTTTTTTTCTAATAACTAAAATCAATTCTTTAGTAAGATTTAAAATAATTCGATTTTACGACTGTATTCTTACTTTATCTCTCTTTTTTTTTAATATGCAATAAATTTTCCCTAGATCGAGAGATACAATTTGGAAAATGTTAAATTTGATTTGTTCCGACTATTTTAATAAAAAACAAATACCCATTATGCTGTATAGAGAATAATAAGCATACCTAGTGAATTATAGAATTTTGAATAGCTTCAAGTTAATCTAGACTAATGTTCTAAAGCGTTTGGTTTTCGTATTTTAAAGACTTTTAGTTATTTATTTAAGTATTAATATTACCGTCTTTCTCTAAATTTGCCAGCAACATGCCCTCCGAAGCTACTTTCGTCGCTGCTATTTCTGTAAGCAGCGAACACGCAGCTGCTGTCTGTCTGGCCATTGGGTCGGATAATGGAGATTCTAAAACAGGATCAATTGGTTCCAATGTGGTCATCATGTGAAACATGAGACAAGTTTTCGGATCGTCTACTTCAACCATATTTAAAGCGTTAGTCTTATTTGGACTCGGAGCCGTGGGGAGCTAGAAATTAAAGTAGCATACACATTATAAGTAAAATAGTATACCTGTTTAGAGGTTTTTGGACGTTTCAAGTCTGTTAAGTACTATGTATAAATCACTGAGAATTTTAGTCAGTCACATATACGTACGTTCACCCCATTGGGCAGGAATCGGTCTAAATAAGCGATTGGTATGATAAAACAATCTTTATCCAAATTGGCAATGCTCGCGGAATCGACTTTTCTGACGTGAAGTGTATTATAGCCATTTGTACCGGTAGGAGTATTCGGTGTAGAATACGAACCATGACGACCTCTACAATTCTGAAAACGAAAAAAAATATGATTTTTACAATCTGACCTCACGATGAATAGAAAACAAATTACTGGGTTACAAATTACCAACCTATACTAAAACGAAAGTATATTTTGTTAAAAAAAAAAAAAAATGTAATAAATACAGAGCATCAATTCTATTTTGAATTAGATATTAAGAAAAATACAGAGTGAATTCATTAATATAGAATCAAAATTTCAAACAAAGGCTATTCATTTATTTTTATTATTATAGACCGTCGTAAAATATCAAATTAAAGTACCTACAAGTATGTTTTTAAAATAGTTGGTAAATTTCTAAAAAGAAAAAAAAATATTATGGGTGATTGTACACTTATTTACATTTTACTGTACATTTTTTTACTCTGAACTTAAAACATTTTTTAAAAATCACGAATTTAATAAAATCAAAAAGATAAAACGTCAAAATGTTCAGAAGATAAACTCTATAAATCTATAAATCTTTAAATTTTTCAAAAATAATAAAATAAAGTTATTTTTTGTCAAAATGTACATATTTAATTTAAATATAAATATTTGGAGTTTTATTTCTACGAGTGATATATATACATAAAAAAAAAAACAGAATTTGGTTATTTTCATTCTCAGAAGATATTGAAATGAAAATTATTTTAGATTGTAATACTTATAAGAAATCATTGAGTTTGAGGGAAACAGAATCGTTTTATGGGTTGAAATAAAAATAAAAAAAATACAAATCTTTAACATTTAAAGCTCAATGTAATATTTTTTGTGAATTTATTTAAGATTAATCGATATTCTATTACAATAATAGACATGTTATGGGTATTTAATTTATTACACTATTAATATTGTATTATTAAATATAATGCATTTCAGTGCGGTTTTTGAAATTTTTAATCGACGTAGTCTCATTTAATTGTATTTTTTGTTTTTATGTGCAAATATTGTGATTTGCTTTTACAGGAGGACAGTTTAAATGATATTTCTAAGGTTTTTTTTTTTAGTGCACTTCGTTAAATCCACAGCTCTACTACTGTATACACGGTAATAACGTCCCAACAACCGAACCTTATCGACTGGATTGTTGTTGACGTGGCCCGTCGCGTTCGCACTACTGCCTCCCGTACCGTTAGCAAACTGCGGCGTGTTGGTGACCGTGTCCGCTTTGCCTGTCGACTGTTTCCTCCGGATCCACCGTATTAGCGGGACGGCGGACGTCGGTTTGGGTTGCGCCAACAACGGCGGCCCAACAAAGTCCTCGAACTCCTGCGGGAAATTGGCATGACCCAGGAGTATGTGGGTCCTAAACGGACAAGTATGATCCGTATCGATCATCATCGAACACCTGTATTGTCACAACATCAGCTTGGACGCGGACGGCCGAGCAACACGCTTGCCTGCGGCTTTTACAAATACACAAACAATATATGACCAAGTACGTTGCGTGCTAACATAGTATTATAATATCGTATGGTTAAATTTCAATTTTCACAAATCTAAATTTGAATTAGAACTTAATTTCGTTGTCGAACTCGACATTTTGAACTAGTCACATTATTATATACATTTGAAAAAAAAAATCCCCTGGTTTCATTGGAGGGGTATGTAGGAGTGTTCAAAGCTAAAGAGTTAGGTTACTCTTCCTGTAACGATACGGTGAAATTTATGTTGAAATTCTATTCAACTTTATCACTTAGCAGTCCGCCTATAATAGAACTATATTATTCCCGAATTTGAGCTCATTTGGTCCAGAGGAGGATCCCGAAAATGTCCAAAAGTAGCAAAAAAATATAAATAGATTAAGGCATATTCCAGTGCAATAATATCTTTTTTTAGGGAAAATTCGACAACAATGGGTTCTAATTTTGCTCAAACTATTCGAAATATACGTGATCGTACCTATATTTGAATATAGTATGAGTTATGTTTTCTCATCTTTCTACTGTTTTCAACATTTCGAAAAGTTCGAGAATCTATTCCTATTACAGTGTTACAGTGATAATATATGTATTGTATACGTCATATTATATACTCATTAAAGTTATAATATTATGTTATCACGATATAATATTAGTTTTGCTTACTCGATATTGTTTGTGTATTTGGATTGATCGGATTCGAGCCGATGTTATGATAAATGATGTTTTACGACGAGTTTAGTTAATATTAAATAGATTACTATCAACAAAATAAAAACACTATGCATTTATATTAACTATGTTGCACACAAATAATGTTGTTCTATCGTTAAAGCACGGTTGAGCAATCGAAATTCTAATTTTTTATCACCACCGTTGAAATTGTTATTTTTATGGATTCTGAATAATATTTTGACGAGAAAATTTGTTTCAGTCAAAAACATAATGCACAAAGACGTTTTTGGGTATTATTTTAGATCTAAATGTAGGTACGCTAAGTAGCATGTAGCGTAACCAGGATTTTAAAAAGGTACGAAGCAGGGCATGTTAAGGATAGGGAGTAATGGAAGTATTTTCCTCGGGACGACTCAAGAGTAGATATAGGATCTTTTTATGGAAGGGGCACTTAAATTGGACAAATTTCTACTAAACTAAAATTAAAATTATTAATGAAATCATATATAAGAAATTAATAAAATATAACTATAATACAATAAAATTATAAAAAAAAGCGAATCATATTGTAGATAGTATTATCAATTGTGTACATTATTTTTATGTCAACCTAATATAAATTTATAATTGTGTATAATACAATATATATATATTATGGATAATACGTTAACAGAGGAAATAAGTTTTAAAAATAAATGAACATTGTCAGTTTGAGAGGGGGGGCATGACCCTGTTTTCCTTCTGGATATACCACGACTGATGAGGAAATTTTTTGAAATTCTATGGACTACATAAAATAAACCATGATGAATATGGATCTAGTTACAAGGAGTTGAAGAAATTGAATTACTGAAGGGAAGCTTGGAGATTTGCAGTAAACCAATTAAACGATTGAAGACAAATAGAAAGATTATATTTTAACCGTATTTTACCCGCAGAAAACAAAAAATTGAAAAAAAATCATTATTTTTAACATTCTATCATCTTTAAATTATTATTGATTTTATACTTGACGGTTACAAAATAAAAATATTTGTCCCACGTTCTTTTTAAGTGACGATAAAAACTGCAGGTTTCAACGTTACTTACATAGTAGATAACACCTGGTGCCCATATGGCCAATTAATTGGCCATAATTAATTCGGTTAGCCGAATGTTCTTCCTTCGATGATAGCTGGCGGTGTTATTATTTATACATTCATCCCCGCTCGAAGTTGGCGGGAGAACTACGTATAATATTATACAGAGTATACGCTAAGATATACCCATTAGCCATTACGATATCTCGGAAAGTATTAACATTTTTAGGAATTTTTTTAAAGAAACAAGCTGCTCTGAAATGTTATATTGTCATTATTTGTCGTCACCCTTATTTTCGGGCGTGAAATGACTTCTTACCTTTAATTTCAAATGGTAACCTATATTCCATAAATAGATTGAGTATTAGTTTAGATACTTTTTGTTAAGTTAGGTTAGGTTAACTAAGCTAAATTAACTAAGTTGAATAGAGTAAGGGAACTAACTATAATCTCTTCTACATAAACTTATGTGTGGAATATTTCGTTAACGGGTTGGCGAAAATCAAAATTGCCAATATCAAACTGAATTGAAATACTCCGTTTATTTATGATATTTCGAATATTGCAATGGGTGTATCTATAATGTATCGGCGATACCGATTACATTATAACTAAAATAATAATGGTAATAATTAGATACCGGATTTATATTCTTTCATAATTCACAAAAAAGCAAAAATGATAGAGAGGTTTTAAAGTCCTATATAATGGCTCTAAGTTCCTAAATTAAATTTCTTAACACTACAAAAATGATTTCTTTTAAATAAAATTGTACGTTTTTTTATATTATAAAAAAAAAATTAATTTTTATTAATCATTTTTGTGGTGCTAGAAAATTGTATTTAGAAATTAAATCCATTAGGGAGGGGACTATTAAACCCCTCTATTATTTTTGTGTTTTTGTATATTTGTTAAGTGATTTTTTTTTTCAAGGCCTTTTGATGTTTTCAAGTGCTTTTTTATGGATTTTAAGAACATATAAATCCGGTCTCTAGTAATGATAATAATATTATCCTATATTTGATCGATGACGGGGTCGACAGCTGCTAACCTGGATTCCCTGGTCCTCCGCGCCGTTCCCAGCGCACCGGTATTGCCACTGGGCGTTCTCCTGCCCATGCCGCTGGAATAGCTCCTCTCCTTAGACGTGCCTTCAGCCTGGAAGTTTTTCCGGAAAAGAATGTTCATTTTGCTGGTCGATATTATTGTTATCGGTAGAAAAAAGAGTTATAATATTATTGTCGTCGATAATAGATAAAACAACGAAACACCACCGACGTTACCGCGATCCGAGCGAAACGGTATTATTTGTCGACCCGTAGTTCTTTCATAGCTTTTTTTTTGTCAGTTTTTTTCTTCATAAAATGATCATTATTATTATATTGTACGGACGTCGGCGAACGACTGCGTGCGTGCGTATTATAGGCGTACGTTCGCGAAACGATTGAGTGTGCGTGTGTGCACGGCGTTTGTGTGGGCGAGTGACAAAATCTATACGGAAGAGTATCAACTAGTAGGCAGAAGAAGTAACTAGTAGCAGTAGAAGTATAAACAGTGATGGTAGTAGTAGTAGTAGTAGTAGTAGTAGTAGTAGTAGCAATAGTAGTAGTAAAAGTGGTAATAAGTGGTAGTAGAGTATTATCGGGCCGTGTGTCTATTAATAAAAAGTTGGCGCCCTTTACGGGAAGAACCCTTGCCAATTTACCCGCAACGGATACGGCACGCGCGATGAAACGGATTTTATGGTTCCTTTCGAATGCGTATTAAAAATACACAATAATAATAATAATTTAAAACAGAAAAAAAAAATCGTATGTAATACACATAATAATATTATAGGTACCGCTGTCGGCCGATTGTTGCCGAATATCGGTATATAGGTAACGCCGCAGAGGTTTTTGACGACGACGCGTCGTTGGCCGCTGCAAACACACGCCGACGCGCCAACGAAAATAAAAATAGCCCGTAACGTAGAAAACAAAAAAAACATTATTCATCGCCTTCCTCTCCGCCAATCCACCACGCCGCCCCCACCCTCATCGCGACTGAAAATTATTATTACGATACGAGACTTATTGGCTAATATGGGTACGGTATAATTAACCTACTGTAAAATATAATGTAGTAAATAATATTGATATTTTTGAAAAACAATATAAGTAATAGGTATACTCGGGATTAACGTCACCATGCTCTTTTTATTCGTCTAGTATTATCAGTTAGTGGCGTGCCGATGTAGGTTTTTTTTTTAGGAAATTGCCTCATGACTAAAATGGGTGGGCGGGTGGCTGACCAAACATGTTGAATGTTGGTTAAGATTGACTAGTTCGGAGATCGGAGATGCCTTTAGTTTTGTGTGTTGTGTATTATATTATTAATATATACCTACTTACGAATATGATAGCCTATATTATATAGTCAATATGGCTAAATAAAAAACGTTGTCCTTGTAATCATGACGTGCAGTACATGTAAAAATCCGTGTTTTGATTGAGTGGGTCTTAATATTTTTGTTTTTCCTCAAGTATGAAAAATGTTCAGCACGCCACTGTTATCAGTAATAATTGGCACATTTGAACAGAAATAATTTATTAGTCCCGTTAAAACACGCATAATAATTTTTCAGGTATTTGCCCTCTCTCGGGGGATTTATTTTCACCGTAATTACAGCATGACGATACAAATAAAAATGTGAATTTTACAAATGCGAGTATGTTTACCGCTTGCTCCCATTCCTCGATACATTTTTGCGGACGCCCGTGTATATCTATACCTATGTAATAGTAAGTACCTATTATTTTTTAAGTTACGGAAAACAAAAAAAAAAACAATTATATTAATGCTTTTTATCGTATTGTATTCTTTAAATACATACATATTATAATACATTATTATTATTTTTTTTTTATTTAAGTATAAAACTATTAAAGTTTGTATTTCAAGTATATATATCCAGTTTGTACAATAATAATAATATTATATGGTAGGTATTGAAATACATACGAAATAAAAATAAAATAAAAAAAATATCTAATAAATAAAACATTTTAACAAAAAAAAATAAATACAACATAACAGAAGAATACTAGGTGTATAGGTACAGTATTTTTATAATTTATAACAAAATGAGATTATTTATTAGGTTCGCGTTCTTAAATTTAATAGTAATAATATAAAATATAAAGTCTTCAAATTGTTTATAATTTAAAAAAAAAAAAAAGAATATCTACTATGAGATTTTAAATGTATACAACAGCGGTACAATGACGATATCAATTTACCACCCTCTCCCCCTCACGACTATCTGTTATTTTTCTCGCGTTTGCACCCGGTTTGGATATTTTTTAGTAGGTAAATAAAGTATATTACCGATGTCCAACCGCCGTCGGTAAATTCAAATATCGTGGGTGTTTCGATATTTAAACCGTCAATAATCACCGTTAAATCGCAATTAAATGTACAACTATACGCATAGCACTCCAGCACTATTTAGGTGATAAATTATTGAAACCGGTAACGTGAAACGACACGCGGATAGTAGCGAGTAAACTCGTGAACTCGCCCAGCGTAATCGACGTTTAAGGGGAAGTTTTTTTTCTTATTTTCATTGAGAGCTTTTGTTTGAGCCCGACAGTAACACTACAACAGAGTAAAGTGGACGTTACATCCACATGACGTGCTGTCTCCGCGCGACATATGTAAATTTTCGTTCGGCGGAGACAACTCTGTGCCGTCGGTTTTAATATTAGAACGAAGTGACCTATTATCAAACTTAAAGATAACAACGTCATATTCCGCTTAGCGTTCGTCGTTTTTTTTCTCGTAATTTTAATTTTCAAGCGAGTTATAAGATTTATTTTCAAATCGTGATTTTTCGCACACCCATACCACGCTTAAAATTATTGTAAAATTAAAATTATGCGAAAAACAACGATGACTCGGATAATGTTATTATCTTTAATTTTGATAATAGGTCGATTCACTTTAATATTAAAACTAACGGCGCAGAGAAATATTATTATTGTTCTCGCTGAACGAAAATTCGGTAAGTCGCGCGGTTAATAATATTAAATTTCGTCAAACGACGACGTGACGTCACGCGCATTATAGTTACACGTGCACGTTTTTTACAGGGAGAATTATTTTCGGAAACAGTACCTACGAAACATCGATTTCTATATTTTGCACGTTTCGCCAATAATAACCGTATACACAATATAACGACAGACGAAGAAGAAAAAAACACAACAAAAAAATGTTAGGATTTATATCCTGAAACGTGTTTTTCTCATTGTTGTTGTGTAGGTATTATGTGCAGCGCGCCGTGCGATTATTACGAACCGTTGAATCCGTTGAAAAAAAAAAAAAAAATTAAATAAAAGGTAAAATACGCGTATGCCCATAATAATATCCCACGATAGCACGGGTATACAGGGTGACGGTTTTACCGTTACGATTATCGTTCGTACGAAAAATTCGTGTACATTTGATTAGAAAATTTTCTTTTTTCGCAGCTATTCTTTAGTACAACCTTTTGGAAATAAAAAAAAAAAAAAAAATTCACTGAAAATCTATTCGTAGACAATATTAATTATTATAATCGTCGCCGGTTCACTCTTACAAAACAATCGTTCTGCACCTATTATAATATCATACTGTAGCGTAGAATATTATCGCAATGACCACCATACGCGTACTATTATTGTTATTATAGCCGTCACTAAATAACGTCAAAGACCGTCCATAGGATAATATCCAATCGAACACCGCAGAGTGTGCGGTCGAATGGAAAACGCGATTTCGGGATCATCGGTGCGGGAGGACGCGAAATACCGGCGGCGTTTCCGCTACTCGGGAGGTGATAGCCAGGGAGGGAGTGAAGGTGGGAGGGCGGTCCNGGGTGCGGCTAGGCGGGGCGAGAAACACGCGACGACGCCGGAATATTATAGCCGTCGGCCGGGCGACGAGACTCGCCGCCGGCGGCGACGGCGTTTTACGGCGATTCCAAATCCGAAATCCGGCGTATCGATCTGTACAGGTTCAACGGCGGCATGTTCGGGTGTTCGATGCGCGTGGGCGACGACACGTGCGGCCTGATGGTCTGGTACTCGGGCACGGTGCGGCGGATGGTGGTGATCTGTTGGTACTCGTGCTGCTGCTCGTACGGGTAGTACGCTCCGTTCTCGAAGTTCGGGTTGGCTATGGTCTGCGGATGGTGGTGCACCGGTCGGCGGGTCGTGGCGGTCGTGTCGATGTTGCCCGTGGGCGACAGCGTGGCCCAAAACGTTTTCGGCGAAATGTCGATGGTGTCGTACAGCGGCGGACTCTTTTTCGGCTCCGGGCTGAAGTCCGATTTGCTCCAGCGTTGTTTTTTACTGCGGGCCAGAGCCGGAAAATGCATTAGGACAAGCTCGCTCGATAAATAAGGACGACCCGCGGAGATCCGACAAAAGCTTATCCGTTTTATTTTATTATTTTATTATTATTTTTTTTTTTATAATATTTCTAGAGCTTTGCAATATGGTTTGAATGTTATTTTTTTTTAAAACTAAAAATGAAAATAGTTGTAACATTTTTTTTAAAATCCGAGCTATTTCATACATTCATTTCGAAATAAAATTCGGGCGATGCAAATGTTTATTTATGATGAACCGGTAATTGTCTAAAATTGTTTTTATGTTTACTATATAATTTTAATCGCTTTCAATATCAATACTCACAATATCGATCAATTCATTAATCTTTCTACGAAAAAAATGTTTGTTAATGATTTTTCTAAACTTCAAACAATATTGTAGAGAATCAGCGACATATCGTTATAGTGAACATTTGTAACACCAATATTATGTTTCAAAATAAACTTGTTAGTGTATGGATTTTGTCACGAAAAAAAAAAAATGTTTTTAAAAATTGTAATCTTTTACTTTTAGTAAAAACAAAAAAAAAATTAAAAAAAAAAAAATTATAGTGTAAGGCTCTAATAATTATTAAAATTAAGATATTGAACAGAACGAACTATTAAATTTGTCAAATCTCCGCGGGACATTCTGTATATACCTGCTTATCTAGATAAAATTACGTTCAAACAATATTTGCAAACTTAATAATTTTTTTTATTATTTAGTTTGGTGCAGGCTGCAGTACAGACCTTCCCCCTAAAATCCTCGCTCGGTTGTAATATAGGATAATATTTTGTAACTCAGTGTTCTGTTTGGTATACTCACTCTCTCATCCGGATGACGATCACTAGTATGACTGTGCCGATCAGCATCACCACGAGCAAGCATGTGGTCAGCAACATCCACCAGGAATAGGTCTCGATAATAGGACCTGAAAGTTATGTATACTGTCAGTTTTCAAATTCGTGTAAAAAAAAAAATATTACGTATTCTACTTTCTGAGTTATTCTATGAAGTTCGTTTTGAATTGTACGAGTACTGTGTAGGATGGAGAGGGGGGTAATTTCTCATGCAACGAAACAAATAATACCTTATCTACAAAAGAGATATTATGTAATTCGACAAATGCTCAAACCTTGTTGCGGTAATTCGATGAATCCCACTCCTTGGTCCAAGTCACACATAGACTTACATGGTTTACCAGAGTCCAATTCATTGGTTTCCATCAATAGCTCCTTGGTGCCCGAATCCATTTCGTTGTTTTCTGGCTGCCCGTCCAAAACGGCAGCCAAAAATGACGGCATCGGAGGCGGAGGCATGTCCAGTATGGAAGGCGGTGGACCTAGGTCACCACATTCTCGGCCCGTAGAATCCATACAGTACACAGCCGTGGCCATCAGGCATAGGAAACATAATCTGATAAAATTTATCTCCATGACGAACACGGGTTATGGAAATCCTGTTAATTGTAATGTTGATAATTTAGATAAATAATGGCAATTTATAACACGAATAATAGTAAACTGTATCATTTCCATATAGTTTTTTAATTAATGTTATCAAAACTCTTAAATTTATCCACAAGAACGGCAATAAATCCATGCGAAGCCAAATTATTTGATTTGATTCAAGATCGGTAGGTCAAGCAGAATAACTAATGAATAATGACACTTCAGCAAAAAGAACATAAGGGAAAATAGCTAAAATATATTTTTTGGGGAGGGAATAATAGATTAAAAAAATTATGTACATTTAATACTTACTTGATTAGGACTAGACTTGGAGGGCTCGATTGAGTTTTGGAGGGGAAATTAAGTCACCCAAGCCCCCCAACTGACATCAATGTTTAGGAGGTAGTGGCAATAATAATAGCATTTTAGGTAAAGTTTTGAAAACAATATTGAAAATGAGACGATAAAACGATTCTATAATGACTGAAAAAGGAATAAGATCAAATTTACTCATAACCTTCGTTGTTAATCACTAGATCACGATAACATAAAACCAATCTGTTATACTATTGCAATGTATTAATCATATAGTAAAATCTACATAATTTGTAAGAAAAAAATAATGAATACAATTAATTTACAGTAATATAAATAAAGTATAGATAGGTGTTAAAAAATGGAAGGGTAATATTTTGTAACTACTGTTTTTAGGGTTAAAAACAAATACAATTATATTAATACTATTTATACTTAATAAAAAATAATGATTTTTATTTCATTATTTTCTTAAAACGTACATAATATATTGTCTATAAAATACAATAATAAATAAAAATAGTTATTTGAGCATGTAAAATGATTAAAGTTTGAATTTTAAGTATACATCAAGTCAAAACGTTTTTTTTTTCAAAGTACAAAAAAAAATTTACAAAACATAGTTAAGTACAATATAAGTAAACAATACACGTTATAGATAGTGAGTTTAATACAGTGTAAGGGGTCAAGGGTTTAATAAAATCCTCCGAAATATTAAGGGATCTATAATTTTAGGAGCGGTGCTGTATGCTATATACATAATACATTATTAACACTGTTGAATTAATATCAGTGCCGTAGGATATTTAAAAATAATAATGAATAATTAATAAGTACTCTGTTATTGAAACCTATAATACTACATACTTAATTTAATCGGTAAATTAATTTAGTTTAATTTATATATGATACAACAAGACATATTGCCCCTAATTTATTGAGAAGGGAAGTTAAAGAAGAATAGCGGCAGTCAATGCACTATAAAAAAATAACATTTTTGAATTTAATTATTTAATCTCAATTTAATCTAATCCTATGTACCTAATACAATAATAAAGATTCACAAAATTCATAAATATGTGCATAAAACACATGTAAGGAGATTTTAATATTTTAATAGAATATTGAGTGACATAAAGATGATATTTGTTTATTCCCTCTAAACATTTTTTCTGCATAGGCCCTAAATTAATATTTAAGTAAAATAGTAGGTAGAGCTATTCAAAATTGTACTAAATAATTTCCAAACAATATAATTTCCAAATAAATTTGGAATAAACCGCCATCGTTTTTTCACCATAACCGTTCATATCCTCGCTATTTCGCTGTAAAACCATTTTGTGATTGCCGTTCATTGCGACAGCGAAATAACGAGAATATAAACAGTGACGACGATTTGATTGTGCTCGGCCTCTCGTAGCAGTGCAGTGATGATTCAGACAGATAAATAATACATGGCATCGCTTTTTCATCGTAACCATTCATATCCTCGCTATTTTGCTGTAAAACTATTTTGTGATTGCCGTTCATTGCGACAGCAGAATAACGAGGATATGAACGATGGAGGTGACTTGACTGTCTCGGACGGCCTTAACGTCAAAATTTCTAGTAACATAGATATTGTATGGTCTTTCAAATTTTTTGTTACAGTTAATTTATCCATTTAAATAATATTATTTATTTAAAAATTACCGATTTGAAAACTTTTTGAAAATTTGATTAATTGTTTTATTTATTTAAACTAGTTTAAATATATCTTGATGTGAAAATTTTTAATTACTGTTATTACGTTGACTAGATATTTCATTTTTAATGAATCATTTTGCAATTTAGTGAGTTGAGTAATATTCTTATTGGGAATGTAGGATACATAAGGTTATTTCATATATATTCTTAAGCAAAGATAAACCATTGCTGACGAAAGACGAAAGACTAGAATAGAGATCAAAGAAAAAATAATAGAAATAATAAACATCATTATAAATCCATTATCCCCCTGCCTCGGAATCTGAAACACATATTAGTATAATGCTGGAAATTACTCTTATATAAATGTTAAAAAATAGAGAAGATTAGGTTTTGTTTATAGATAATTAGAATATTTTATTTGCATATGTTTACTATAAACCTTAGCTATTTTAAGCAATAATTTTCCAATGGGCGCCAAATAAATCATTGGAAAACAAATTTCATTTTTTATTTGATTATTACTTAATACTTTTATATCAAAGTACAAGTGGTAAATTCCATTACCCAGATGTTATTATACAATTTTTGCTTTGGGTATCTACGAAAAAGTATATTGGATGATAAACTTTATTTATCATCTTACTATGACAGTAAACCTACGTTATTTTGAAATTGTGTTTTCCCCTCGAAGCACATTTCACAAAACTAAAATTACTCATATATTATATGTGTACATATATATATATGTGTGTGTGTGTGTGTGTGTCTAATAATATACGAGTACGTCTACCCTGTGAAATGACTACTGGAAAATGTGCTCGGGAGGGCGGAACAATCGATTGGACGTTCACAGTATGGGGCGATGATTGACAGTTCTCGATTATCTATTGTGCAGTGACGTCATTTTTCAAATTACCGACGAGCGTAACATAACCAAACATTTTGAGGATAACGTACAGTTAAGTATTTAAATAAACAATATTTAAATTTTAAAACACCTATGGAAATTAACCACAATAAGTTTACATCTTCATATATTATGTAATACATAATATTTTTTGAATGTTATTATAATCTTATAGTTTAAACTATATATTTTCACCTTTTAGTTGTACACAAATACTGATGATTTTTACTGATGGGTTTATCACTGTCGTAGGTGGGATGTTAGGAAGGTATAGAATACATAGTTATTCAAATTGTTATTTTATCTGCAAGGAAAATAAATAATTCTAACGAAAAACGATTCTGAGCCGAAGTTTGATTAAATATTATGTTTTGAAATGCCATGATTTTTAGGCGATTTTCGTTAAAATTTAAACTTAGAATATTTATAAAAAAAACTTCTAAATTACGTTTGAATTTTTTTTCAGTATCTAGGACAGTGGTTCTCAACCGGGGTGACATGGATCCAATGTAGGGGTGACAAGAAATCCTCGGGGAAAAGTTTAAAAATATAGAAATTTTTTTAAAATCGTATTATTGTAACGGTAATCATGTGATTGCTACCACACTCAAACAACGCAATAATTGTTTACACTAAACGGCACAGATACTGCAAAATTCTTATCTTTGTATTATTTATTTCTATTTATAGTGTTAACTACACTATAGATCCGATAAATACGTCCGTTCGACGTGCGACAACGCTACGTTATCTGAAGCGGGACTTAGTCAGTTTTTCTACATTTATAACTATTATTTTGATGTCAGGGAGACGTAGTGTTGGGTTATCGTGGATGAGGGTGACCGAATCCAAAAGGTTGAGAACCACTGATCTAGGACAAATTGTGAAGATTCTCGTCTAAAATATTCAAGCATTTTTGCTCGGTCAAGACAATTTTATCTATATAAAAAGTTGATCCTCTTAAAGAGATATATCACGTACTAGTTCGCTACTTGTATTTGATAGTACCAATCACATAATATTACATATTCAATGAAAGAATTACAATACCTATGCACCTATATTATTATTATCATAATTAATCAATAATTTATACAATATAAATATTATTAAACTAAAAACTATTTTGACTTAATTATATTGTTTTATAATTCGTGTTTACTTAATATGTTTGTGTATTTTTATTTTATATATACATAAATTGTTGGTTCTTTATTAACACTGTGTTGTAATAATTTTTTTCACCTATTAAATAATCATATAAACTAACATAAACGTGCACAAACAATTGTCAACAACAAAAGAAAGAAAAATATAAATTTGGTTCGGCCATAGACAATTAAACAAAATAAAATAAAAACAAATAAATAAGTAAATCGATAGAACTAGGTAAATAAATAATCTTAAATTAAGATAAACAAGGTGATTTTTTTTAGAGCACGAGTGTATTATTAAATTTGAATCTAGTGTTTTTTTTTTCAGTCATCGTACTAGAATCGTCTAATTTATAGTCTTATTTTCAATCATATTTAAACAGTTTTACACCTATTCTGAAGAATGTATACCATAAACGCGTATCGAATTTTGATAAAAACTGTCAATATTTCGAACTTTGTTTACCCCCTCCCCGCGAAATTTGTTCCTAATATTATAGTACTTAAAAAGACTAACCGTTGGATTATTATTATTAATGCGCATGGTAATCTACTTAAATCAATGGATCAATAATTTACAACGGACTTGACCCGTTGTTACTGAACATGATGCGCATCGATTAATAATTGATCATAAAAATATAAACGACGAGCGGGTATCATTGTCGCGTGTATCGGATGCTGTAGGTAACAGCGATAATAATACCTACAAAATAATAATAACGAACGGGGCGAAAAAAAAACAGAAAAAAAAAAAAAAATGGACGATAGTATTGAAACAAAACGTTAGACTGCCCGTCGACGTAACCTGGGTACGTCCTATATACTTACGAGACGCGGACGGCTCGACGGCGGCGGCGTCGTTGGCGCGGTTGGTTTTTACGTCGTTCGATATTTTCGTAAAACTGATAGTATATGTAAAAAAAAAAAAAAAAAAAAAAAAAAAACAGCGGCAATTAATAACACTATATTATCGCTCGACACAGTACGGATAAGCGACCAACGGCGGCCGCCGACCGACGGATCGGCCGTCGACCTGTACCCACATAATTTTATAAACATTCATGTCTGATATTAGAGTGATACCGTCCGAAAACGGCTACGGAAAATACGGTTACAGCGAATATAATTGTTGTCTACGCGGCGGCGGAATCGAGAAAATAACGACAGTATTATAATAAATAATAATTGTAAATAATATTCTAGGCATACTTACGCGTAACGTGACGTCTTTGCGGCTCGGCGGCAGTCGGAGTGTACAGGCGAAAAGGCAGCCAGCCACGGGGCAGATGCGCAAAATCGCTTTCCCGACCCTTTTATCGATCTCCCCGCCGCCGCGGCCGGCCCGTCGACCGGCACCGACGGCGACGGTCGCCGTTGCCACCACTACCGCCGCGGCCGCGGCCGGCACCCCGCATCCGGTCGCCTTGGCAACTGCAGGGTATTATAACGCGAGGGGTGCCGCGCGCACGACTTGCCCGGGGGTCGCCGCGCAGAGAGGGCGTCTTTTATGTGCAGCGGCGACTCTGCCGGCGGGTGAGTGGACGGAGCGGTGGCGGCTCAAAGAGACTTTGGCGAGCTGTACTATGTATACACGTGTTGTGTGTGTGTGTGTACGATTTTCCGCAGATCCTGTCCGCAGCACATCTGCGGCGTTTTCCCGGCTTTTGACGTACCGAAGAGGGCGTTTTCAGTTTATCGAATTCTCCGGATGCAGGTGTGCACCGAGAGCGACAATGTATTACGTTTTGACGATAACAAAACACTGCACTGAGCTCGCGTGGCGGGTTCTTCAAAATGATTAGCGTACTTGCATTATTATTGTTTACAGCGGGTACCTATAGGCACTCCTCTCAACGCGGTGCACAATGTCTCTACCATACGGTGGGAGACGTTCTGCGTCGCGAGGAAGTGGACGAATGGACGGTAGAAGTCGAAGGGCAGTTCGATGAATAAGTCGATTTCAGACCGGCGGGTGCCACGTCACCGGGCCGTGTAGTCTGGCCGCACAAGATCGGCGGTTTCCGAAACCCGGGTCATGAATTCATTTATTCGACGATCGAGATATTCGTGATGACGGGGGAACCGCGATCTGGGCCATGAAGACCGAATCCGATATTGTAAACAAACTTAAATCGACATTGTAAATGGAACTATAGACTATAATGAGTAATGAACGAGTGATTGCACATTCAAGTAAGAGTGGACAAAGGAAATATAATGTAAAATAGTATAGTGATAATAATACAGGGAATTAAGAGGGAGATCAAAAGGGGAAAATCAGTGCTCGGCTTAATAATTATGTTACTACCCTCGATCCCGACGTTTGGAGGGACTCGGAGTCGCGAGTCAGAGAATAGAGACGAGATCAATAAATAAGAAATAAAATAAATTGTCTTATCTGCCCGCGGTGTTGGAACGTTAGGGTATATACCTATAGTTATTCTCCCGTGATAGTGTAATACTGGAATGATAATGCAATATTGGAATTTAAAATATTTACACTTCGAAACTGCTTGCACTCGGATAACGAAATATGTGCTAGTATTTAAATTATGTCAGAAAAAGGTTGAACTAATAAAATAAACGTGTAGAGAAATTGAACATGGGCAATTAGCTGCTAAAAGTCGGAGCTAGTTATTATGCAAGAGAGATTTTCGAAATAGACTGGCGGTGCGCACTTAATGTGTGCAGGGTTTTCGACAAAGTAATCGTCCAGAAAACTACTCACGTGAGCGAGACACTTAAGACATCAAGAAAAACAATGTTTTTTTTTTTTTTTCAGAGACTTACACGTCGGGAACGATAAATTGTGATTTATTGATCATGAAACTACAATGAAACCAATTTTATTTAGTGATGATTTTGTATTGGCTATTTTGTACGGCGGCGTGGGACCAGTGGTGATAACGCCTCAAGAAGCGCCGACCGTCTTTTGAATTTTATTTTTCAAATCGTATGATTTGATTACGAAATGTATTACGTGCATCTCTTTTGAATAACCAACGCCTATTGCATTTATAATATATAAAATCAACTACTTATTTTTTTACTAAATACCAAGTACTCGACCGCATCTAAATATTTTAGTCACACTGTTATAAATATAAATAATTATATACATGTTGTGTGATCTTAATATTACACTTCTAACAGTCAAAAATCGACTTTTCGTAATTTTGTTTTGTTTAGTTTTTATATATATATATATATAGTGTATATTTTTATGTCTTATTCGACCGTATCACTAGGTATCAAATTATTTTATTAACAACGATTAGTGAAATACAAAATGTGTGTGGCGCGCGGCGGGTGTCCAATTCAACTATACCTAGTTAAAATGTTTAAAACCAGATCGCGTACTAGATTTTAACATTTCCCAATAGTGTGTAGAAATGTAAAGAAGTGCGATTTAAAACGATATTGTACCTATACATCACGATATTATTCTAGTGCGTAGTATATTATTGGCTGTTAAAATAAAAATAAAAACGGCAAGGTCAAAATTGGGTAAATTTAAAATTCGTATGTGCATTAGTTATAATAATACATTATATGCCTTACATAGAAATGCTAAACTACGTTTAAAAATCTTAACAATGTTTACTTAGTTTACATAGCCTATACTGTATTATAATAAAATATCTCAAGGGAAGTGCGGTGATGTGGTTCAAGGAATACACAATGACGTCACTTATCCTGAATATTTTAAAATTCAGTATCAAAAGTCAATAATATTGCGTATGGGTATATAATGTGAATAAGTACAGACACTCAATATATTATAAAGCAAAAATCAAGTAATACCGTTATCGACGACTAGTAACCGTACACGGTTTTAAGTTTTAACTACTTGATTTCACTTAACAGTTGATACTTAAAAATATTTCAAATGCTGTAACATGAGTATATTATTTTCGCAATAATAGAGTATTGAGCAATGTTACGTATTTATTACTATGGAATTGTTACCCATAAAAATTGGTCACGGACAGTAATATTATAACAGACATTATAATATTGTCCAGAAATTTTCATTGTTTTCACGCGTGTTGTACGTTATGTTTTTGGGTACCTATCTTTTGAAATTTAAGATTTATTTTTTCGAAAAGTTTTCTTTAATTTTCCCGCAAAACTTTACGTGCACACAAATTTAATAAAATGAACAACATAATATAGTTAACGACTTTTTATATACATATATATGTATGTATTATTAATTTAAAGTTTGAATATGCGCGGAGTGGAATGATGTGAAAGTTCCAATTTTGACTTAATGAGAATTTTTATCACTTTTTTTTCTCTATATACGTACTGTTTTTTCGTATACACGCGCTAAAATAATTTGTTTTGATGTAAGTATATAGCGCGTTAAATACGTAAAAGTTAGGTAGGTAAGCAACACATTATTATTTATATCGTACAAAAAGGGTAGGTATATTACCAGACTACCTATACGCTAATTAAAATATATACCTACGTGCGTTCAAAATTAATTTTAGACGTTTGTTGAAGTACAAACGTAATAACTAAATATTTAATTATTTTACATTTTCAATTAATAAAGACGAATATTTACTTAAAACTTCCAGAACTAATTTGAATAATTTAACTGTATAAACAATCGAATAAATCAAATTTTGTTTTTAAAACTACGATTTATATTATAATGTATTGAAAAGAGAAAACGATTTCAAGCGAAGTTCTGTCGAAACATCTGTTTGATAAATTTAAATTGAAAATTGTTTAAATTTTTAACTACAAAATAAACTACAAACATTTGTGCTTAAAATGAAATGTAATTTAGATTCGATCTCAAAACGCTGATAAAAATAAATTACAACATTACCATCAAAAAAACGCTAAAGTCGGCAATTTCATATACTCGTATATTTGAAATTGTATAGTACCTATATAAGAGTTATATTCATTAAAAATTTAAAAATAACTCTAAAATTTCCAAAATATTTTGAAAGTGATGCCAGAACAGAAGAAAAAAAAGAGATGGACATATATTGGGTGGGTAGGCCACTGATGTAGGTGAGAAGTTGTGAAGGTAGGATACATAGGATAATTGAATTTTTTTTGTAAAGTTTAATAATTGTTAAATAAAAACAATTCTGACCGGAGTTCGGTTATACATGTTTTAAAAGGCCGTAATATTTACGATTTCCGTCAAAACTTGATATTAAAATTCTTAACAAAAAAAATTACTACATTTCTTATTGACCAATAAGTACAATTTATCATGAACCTCCTGTTAAATTTGCCAGAATTTCTGTTTGGTTTAACAATTTTATTCACCAAATACCTAACAAATAAATATTACGTAAAAAACATGCAAAATTAAAATGTCTATAAATAGCTCAAAAATGGCTAAAATGTTTTGATAATTTTACAACATTTAGGAAAGACAAATATAAGTTTCCTTTAAAAATTTCAAGTCTTTACACATATTTTCAAGTGAATTCAAAAAAATTCAATTGAAAATAATAAAATAATTATTTTCGTACATTTTCCCGAACTTTCTACGTTTTTTTTAGGTTTACCTTAATTATAACCTAACCTAACTGCTTAGTAAATCAAAAAAGAACGAATTACTTTCTCACCAACTAGATTAAAATTGCTACAAAAAAGTTTTGTTGTTTTGCTTTTGGAGCAATATTTCTGGTAGAAATCATAGTTTGCAAAAGTTAAAAAGAATGAAATCAGTAACGTTGCGACGTGCCATACATTTTTGTCTATTAACCAATAATTTTCGTTCCGGTTTTTACCAATTATTTTGAAAATCCTTTAGAAAATCAATAAATGGCCTTGCTATAGTACCAACTAGATAGAATGTAATTTCAGAAAAGGTGTTACGCTCCATATATCGGAGCATGATTTCTTTTTGAAAAGTTGTTTACAGGCAGAAAAAAAAAACAATACACATCATAGTAAAACTAATAGATCCCTCCCCACACTCCAAATCTAAATGCACACTTTATTTTAATAGCACACGGCGGAATTTAATGTCATAGTATTGTCGTTACGTTTAGAATCTAAAATATAATCAATAACAAAGAAACCACGTGTAATTGTGATTTTTCAACGTTTAGACAGTTGAAATTATAGTATAATTATGTTTCATAATACACGTTTCATGTTCATTTGTATAATGTAATAATAGTCGTATATTGCGTTGTAAAAATGTACGATAAAACCAAAAGTCCATTATTGTCCCGCACTAAATTATACATAATATACTCGTATACTAGGTAATCGTCATTGTTTTTTTT